CCATTTTTCCCTGAACTTCTCAGTTTGTCCATTTTTACGTGCTATATATTCTTCAGAAATAAAATCTCTTGAAAGGCATATCTTGAAATGAATGAAATAAGGCAACTTCTGTGCACGTCTTGCCTCGTATATCACATATTTCGCCACCGTCACGCAGTGTGTTATAATTGGTATTTCATTGTGCCCAAATAGTTTAGTTTTATTTGAAAGGTGACCTAACCTGTTGCTCGACATAAAATTGGAAACCTCATCCCAAAACCTGTCCACTACTGGACACATTACGAATAAATGTTTCAATGTCTCTGGTTCCGACTCACAAAAGGTGCATTTGTTATTTTCCTGAACATTAATTATACTTAAGAAAACATTAGTTGTCAGGATACGCATAATCAGTTTAAAATGGAATGATATATATTTGCTCACGTTTACACCTTTTTCGATATTATAAACTGATAGCTTTTCAAAATTGCCAACATCAGAAATCCATTTCCTTTCTATTCTCGCGATGTCTTCCTGTGCTCTGGTGTCACTTCCAGCAATTTTTGTGAAATATCTCGTAAATGTTTTATTGTTTAATAGGCACTGAATACGTGCTGGAAGCGCTGGTTGCATGTACCATCCTGGTGACTGTTGTTTTTTCAAGGGGGCAGGCAAACTATGCAAGAGTCCTTGGTACTCTAATGGGACACAGTTTATATTAAACTTTTCTTTAAATTGGTGCCATGTCATCAGCCTATTATTTTCGTACAAATCCCCAATAAATTTAACGCCCTTTCTTTCCCATCCTGCATACCTCTTCTTTTTAAATTTTGTTAGGTCTGAGTTGAAAATATTTTCGTAGCAAAGAAGACTGTCTTCTGAGCAGAACCTCATAGAAAAAGATATCCATGCGTTTATAACATCCTTCCAGAAAGGATTTAAGATATATTCAAGTTTTTTGTTCAGTGCCACGACACCGTAATTCCAAATGAAATCGTCATTTATTTTATTTGGTACAAGCTCATGCCACGTAGCTTTGTTTCCAGCAATGTGCCTTTTTATCCACTTGATTTTCAGTGAATTCACAAACGATTCAATGTCAATCATTCCAAGACCGTTTTCGGTTACTGTTTGACAAAGGCGTGCTCTTTTTATCGGATTTCTTTGCGAGCCCCACACAAAGTTAAATAAGATGTTATTTATTTCCTTCATTGTTTTTTGACAAGGATTTGGTAGGGAGGCAAGAATATGAGTTATTTGTGATAGCAAAAGAGATTTAACTATGACAATTTTTCCAACCAGTGTTAGGTTGCGGCTTTGCCATGTTCTGATTATTCTTAACATCGCGTCTTTTTTTAGCTGTATATTTTCTTCCGTGATATTTGAACACAACGGGTTAAAAACAATACCGAGTAACTTCAGTTTTGTTACCCATCTTAATTCAATATCAGGGCAAATAATGTTTTCTTCAAGTGCCTTTTTTCCAATCCACATTGCGTGACATTTTGTTACATTTGGCTTTAAACCTGAGAATTTGGCGAACCAGCCCAGCTCGTTGAAAACGTTCCTCAAACTTTCTTCAGATCCATCAAGGAAAAATGTTGTGTCGTCGGCATATTGAATTATTTTTACTGTTGTATTACGTATTTTCATTCCTCTGATCATATTGCTATGTCTTATTATATTTGCAAGTATCTCAGCGCCTATGATAAAAAAGTAGCATGACACTGGGTCGCCCTGTCGACAACCTCTTTCAAGATTTATCTGCCGCGTTGAAGCGTGTCCATTGTAAGTTATGCGCGATATGTTATCTTTGTGCAGACATTGGAAAATTTGGATAAAAGTAGAACTAAAGTTAAACTTTAACAAACATAATTCCAAGAACTTCCAGCTCATTACGTCAAAAGCGGACTTGAAGTCTACAGACAAAAGCATGCCATCCTGATTGTTTTTCTGGCTTTCCCATAATACATCATATACAACTCGGGTGTTCTCACCAATAAATCGTTTCTTTAAGAACGCCACTTGATCCTCATGAATAATAGAATTTAGAACTTGTTTGAGGCGGTTTGCTATGGTTGCGGAGAGAATCTTGTACGTTGAGTTTAGGAGCGTAATCGGACGCCAACTACTAATTAAATTTCGTGGTTTTGATGGTTTTGGAACTAAAGTAATTAGGCCTTCCCGTTGACTGACTGAAAGAGATCCTTTAGATAATCCATATCTTAGCGATTTGTAAACAAAGTACTTTATTTCTCCCCAAAATACTTTGTAAAATTCATACGGAAATCCATCAGAGCCAGGACTTCTATTATTTTGAAGTTTTTTTCAGCGTTTCCCCTAATTCTTCGACCGTTATATCTTTATCTAGTAATTCAGCCTCATTTTTTGTCAGTTTTGGACATTCAATTTTGTGGAGGTAATGTACCACCTCTGATTCCGAGAAACAATCATGTTTTTTGAATAAATTTTCAAAATGATTTGAAAGCCCATCAAGAATATCGTCAGTACTTTGTAATTGTCTACCATTCACATCCAAGCAAGGAATAACTTTACTTTCAAAATTTCTTTTCTCCAAATTGAAAAAATAGCGTGAGCTTCGCTCTCCATCCTCATACCAACGGGCCCGTGATCTAACTATTCGGCCCTCGTTTTCAGCAGCCCGCGCTGTTTGTAATTCTGACTGCTTTTTAACAATGTTTTCCATATCTACGCTTGAAGGGTTTGGTAATGACTCCAAAATCTGCAAGTCGCGTAAAATACTATTTTCATTTTCGGATCTTTCTCGCTTTTTCCTTATGGAATATGTTATGGTATGGGACCGTATTTTCATTAGTAATGTCTCAAGAAACAAGGCATCGTTTATTTTCATTTGAATATTTTCTCGGTTTTGTATATTTCTAAGGTATGACTCAGCATAAACTGAGCATGCGTATTCATGAGTTACATCCTGAAATACATTTTTTATGGATTCCAAGTAATTTTTGTCTTTGAGTAGTGAGCAGTTGAATTTCCAAAATCCTTTCCCTCTCTTTTGATCACTTAGGTTTAACCGTAACGAAACTCTGGAGTGATCTGACCTGTATCCCGGAATGATTTGACAAGATGTAGTTCTGTTAAGAATTGGTTCAGAGACTATGAAGAAGTCGAGTCGCGCACATTTAACTGGGTTACTTCTTCTCCACGAGAAATGTTTTTCACTTTCATTCATCACTCTCCATACATCGTAAAGGTTTAATTGTGAGCATTTTTCTTTCAGAGGTTCACTTATGACGTCATAGGTCAGTGACCTGACCTGACCCAAAAATGCGGTTGGTGTCAAAAGATCCGGCTTGGATCAAAGGTCAGGTATGCCAAGTTTCAGCTCTCTATCGCCAGCGTGTTCGGAGCTATCGCGAAAAAACCCTATGGGGGGGGGGGGGCGGCACCCGCCCCCCCCCTCGGCCGGCGAGGGTTATGGGAGCTTTCGAAAGACGTTCGTCTTTCTCCGTCAGCCTGTCTTAAAATGAGCACTTACACACACATAATACACAAGGTTAACCCTCGCATGTGTAGGGGGGTCGGATGGACCCACCCCATGGTTTTTCGCAAATAACTCGCGTAAAAAGCGGCCGATCGCGACGACACTTTCAGTACCCTCGCATTGCTCAATTTTACACCTACCCTGAAAATTTCATGACCCTGACCCAAATGACCTTTGACCTGTGACCTCTTTTCCAAGACCATGTTTGGCCGGAATCGCGATTTCGCGTATGTCGGCTCGCATTAGCCGCGCGTTTGCAAGCTTTTCGTGGTTTCAGACGTTCAAACATGTGATTTGATGTTGCTCCCATACATTAGGGTGGGTGTCAAGGTCACCTGAAGGTCAGGTCAGGTCATTGACCTTTGGTGACCTCGGGTGACCTCGGCTCACTTTTTCGAGTTTTACATGTTTCTAGGCTAGTTTTTGGAGCTGAATTCGAATTCAGCAACCATTTGAACATTTACGAAGCAGTTTTGGTGACTTCGTAACATGTTACGAAGCTGTCACAGGCGGTTGACACGTACTACGAATACCCGTCACGACGCCTACTGGTTGACCTGACCTGACCTGACCCGACCTGGTCTAAATGCTTAAAGACATCATCTGTGATCAAAACTAACACGATATTCGTGATCAGCACCCCGAAAAACCCCTTAGCAGCCACACTTTACGACTTTCTAACAGGTCCCGATTTTCCCGACTTTGGGTCATTGACCTGACCTGGAAGGTCAACCAATGACCTAGGACGTTAAAATTGGGTATCATTGGCTTCCTCTCGTCACGGGCAACACGCTCGTTTTTTCCCCGAAGCTCTAGCTCGATCAGGGGCCAAACGGCAAGTAGGGGGGTCCAACCGACCCCCCCTTCCCTACACATTAGAAGCTGGCAAACGCCGTACACATGCGAGGGTTAAGACAAGATTAAACACTTCTTAATAAGAAGTAAGTGTTGAATCTGTCTTTTATGATTTCTTCTTTCTTTTAGTGATTCCAGGTGCGTATTGAGCAAAGAAATCCAAACGAAGTAGGGGAATCCATATTGTTGCTCACCCCTTTATTGCTCCAATAGGTATGGGAAATTTTCGTCGCTTTGCGGGACGGAATAAATTTATCCGATCGGAATAATATCTTGCACCCATCCTTGTGTGCAAGATATTTTATAGTATCGACAACAATTTCAACCCGGCCCGACGAGTCCTAAAAACTTTGTCAAAATTGACCACCCTTATGTCCCCCCAACATTTTGGTTGGAGGGGATGTGTCGCCCCCTCGCTTGCGGAGCCCATAAACCCACATACAGAACCCATTTTCCTTCATAGAATGAACTTCCACTGTCGAATCGTTTCTCCTGCTACCGTTGTTCTGTTTGCTGCCGAGAGGTCCGGTTTCATATCGCTCTTCTTTTTTATGCGGTTTATTTGATGACCCTTCATCCCTTGCCGGCGATGGTTGTCAATGTGACGCACCTATAACAAAGAAGTTGTATTGTTCCCCGACAGTATGGCACCGCTTCGGCCTCCGTTGGGCGTCACGCGCAGGCAGCTCAGCACGGCGCTGTACATCTCGGTGGCGTACGCAGCTAACTGTGGCGGCACGGGCACCCTGACCGGCACCAACCCCAACCTGGTGCTCAAGGGACAGCTGGACGAGTGAGTACCCGGCTGACGGCGTGTCTAAGGACCTCCGTTGTGAAATGATTTTTCTTTAGATCCCATAGTTTTCGGCTCAACCTACAGCATACTTGTTGAGGGTGGGGGGTTAGGGTGATTGAACGTCGACGGGAGGCTGGCTAAATCCGACGCAATGTTTAAACCTATAGCCTTGGCAGTGTACTTGTAAGTGGCTGAAGGATCAACAAATACTATTGTTGGTTAAGAGAGCCCCGTGACTGACATGATCCACACTCGGTTGACTCACTTAGTGCCTCGCGAAGAAGGGGATCGTCGGAGCCCATTGCAATGTGCATTGACGTCTTTATACTAATTTACAGCCATTCATGGATTCAATAACCGTAGGTTCATAATCCTTCATTATTTCATTTACTTATTTGCTCTTTAGCTTATTCTTTAGTCCGTTCGTTCGTTCGTTCGTTCGTTCGTTCGTTCGTTCGTTCGTTCGTTCGTTCGTTCGTTCGTCCTTTTGTTGTTTGTTTGTTGTTTGTTTGTTTGTTTGTTTGTTTGTTTGTTTGTTTATTTGTTTGTTTGCTTGTTCATTTCTCGTTTGTTCGTTCTTTCGTTTATTTGTTGATTCGTTCTCTGTTCGTTCGTTCCTTCGCTCGTTCGTTCGCTCGTTTGTTCATCAGTTCGCTCGGTCGTTCATTCGTTCGTTCGTTCGTTCATCGTTCTTCCGTTCCTTCGTTCGTTCTTTCTGTCTTTCTTTCGTTCTTTCGTTTGTTTATTTTTTGTCAATTTGCTGGCTTGTTTGCTCGCTAGCTTTTTCGTTCTTCCGTCCGTCTGCCGGTCTTTTCGTCGTTTGTTCGTGCTTTGCTCATTTGCCTGTTGGCTTGTTCGCTCGTTATTTTTTGCCTTAGTCTCGTTCGTTTTTCCGCTTCTTTTTCGCTTTCTCTTTCGCTTTTTTGTTCTTGTTTTCTTTGCTCGTTCGTTCGGTCGTTTGTTTGTTTGCTTCTTTGCTGTTGAATACCTACATTCATTACTGATTCATCAATTTGTTGTATTTACTCATTCTTTCATGTATTTATGCATTCATAGAACTAACAAGGCTGTTGAAACTAATTTACAATGGACGCTAAACGTTGCCAACGAGATCATTAATCGCTATTAATAATCAGAATAAATTATGCGAGCTTACAACTTCAAAAATTAACAATCATTCGATTCAAATCATTTTTATCTTAGTAAGCAGTTGATTTCGAGCCTGCAATTTTTCAACTACTTTCCTTTTACCAGTGTTTGCGTGGCTTGACAAATGTCATCCCTTAGCCTCAGTGAAAACTGCAGTGTCTATTCGCAGGTTGTTCGGCGCCGAGACAGGCCTTACATATGCTAATTTCATGCTGTTTGGAGTGCCCTCCATGCTACTATGCACACTGCTCGCCTGGATTTGGCTCGTCATTCTCTTCCTCGGCATCAAGCAGTTCTGGTGAGTTTGTCTGGCCGACTGGGTGCTATTGTCGTGTACCGAAATGACATCGTTGTGCAGTGACGTGCGCTATTTGCTTTTTGCATTTTGTAGTTTCAATCCAAACTTAGGTATTTCAAATTCGTTTTACATGGAGCCAAGATTATAATGATTGGTTATTTTTCGTTTAATCACTATTATTACATATTCGGGACGCATGGTTGATTTTATATGAATTTACGTGGTATTTCATTAGCGCAATAGACAGCTTTTATGAATAGCACCCTGGGCGTTTGATACAGAACGACGAAAATGCATCTCAAGTAATGCATGCATGGTCGCAAGGCCCTGAAAAACCTCGTTGTAGAAACATAATCCGATGAACAATGAACTATAATAACTGGTGAGTATATATATATAACTGGTGAGTATATATAACTGGTAATAATAACTATATAACTGGTGAGCCTCTGTCTCTTGCTGCCCAGTTTGTCACCAATGCCGAACGTGTCGACCACAGCCGCAGTACGCGGCAGGATCACCTACTCAGCCTTCCCAACATTCGTGGTTCGGCCACCGGGAAGAGGCAGTTTGCATACCGCGCAGCCGCCGGGTACAACGCTTTACCTAGAGAGTTTTTGGACATGTCTGCTGCGCAGTTTAGCCGCAAACTCTTACAACATTTATTGGAGGTGACATAGTGTGCTGTCCGAGCAGGAGGGTCGTATCCGGCAATGATGTCTTTTTTTATTGGTGTGCGTGACGTTTGCTTGTGTTTTATTTCTCATCATTGCATGTCCAATATGTTTTGACTCTGACTCGAGAATAGCCCTTGGACCTCGGTCTGGTAAAGGGATGAGTTAACGCCGTAAATACATACATACATAATTACAAACGGGAAACCCGATTTTGCAATAAGCATGAAATGAGGCGAAAACAAAACAAACAGATGCTCGTGCCCCGGAATGATATCCCCATTGTCATCTATCGCATAAGAGAAAATAGTTAGAAAAGCTGAACCGTTGAAATAGAAAAATGTGCAACTCTCGTTCTGCTGCCTCAATTAGCAGTTTTCTTGCTGTCACACAGGTGCTGCAAAGATGAGGACTCTTCCCAGTTTGCCGAGGTGAAGAGGTCACTGCAGCAGCGCTACCGCGACCTGGGGCCCATGTCGTTCCACGAGGGCATGGTGCTCTTCCTGTTCGTCGTGCTCGTGCTGCTGTGGTTCCTGCGCTCGCCACGCTTCATCCCCGGCTGGGCCGAGCTCTTCCCAACTGCGTGAGTACCCATAACCTATCGGCCACCGCGCTCTATTTGATTGAGGCTATCATTATGGTTGAAAGCTACTAAGGTAAAATAAATGACACGACTCTTTTGGGCATATGCTAATGGGTTTAAGATGTCTGAAATTCGCCGATGTTTGGGTAGCAACCAGGCTCAAAATGTTTAGTGATACGATACCTACTCTATCAATATCACACAACTAGAACTAGTGCAGGTGACGGCCCATGTCGCATTGTTACAATGCTTGGGGACTGTATTCCATGCTCGGGGAGCGGAACTTGCCGCCAGCAGGCCTCAAAGCCATGCCTCTGTGCATTGCGCACGTGCCCGTAAGTCCGTGACGTTTGGCTGGCGTGACGTCACAAAACCTGACACCCCAGCCGTGCAAGTTTTCTCAAAAACGTCACAGATCGCTCCCCGGCAAAGGAACTCCGTTCACCGCCTGAAAACCGATATGTAGTGAGGCGAAATGATAAGTATATCTCATGAATAATTCTTTTTTATGTGCTTCAGGATATCTGACGCAACTCCAGCCATCTTTATCGTGGTTCTGATGTTCATCATACCAGCGAAACCGAATTTCGCCTTCTGGTCAGGTAGGCGAGGAGCCGCTGATAAACTCGAGTGCTCACGCACGGCGGCTCAAGTGCAAATCAAAACGGCATTCGCAGAGGCATTCTTGTCGACGTTGCGATGACGCTGGTTTGACTTTCCGTTTCAGCGACCAGCCGAGATCAGACTAAAGTGAGTCAGGGTCTTCTCACGTGGAAGGCGGTCCATGAGAAGGTGCCGTGGGGAGTTCTTGTCCTGCTCGGTAAGTACACCTAGTTATACCTGCCAGGGCTGTTCAGGTAGCTTAGGTATGTAAATGCCTCTGGGTAAGTACCTACCAGAGTTGTTCAGACCGGTTAGGCACATCAGTCAACGAACTGACGAAGCTGTCGAATGAATTTGCCTGCATTTACGCGTGTAAGAATTTCAGACCTGAGACGTTACCTTAAACCACGGCCATTTATGACACATAGCTGTCTTCTTTTAGGCACGGTCACGATGTAAATTTGGAGAGGCCTGTCTCGTCCTCATACATCAAACTTTATCCACACAGCAATAAGTTTCGCGATGGCATTCCCAATAGACGTAACTGTGTCGCATTATATTTCCAGAAATACGTGTTTACCTATATCTATCAGAATAGCTGATAGGGTATAGTTTACATTACCAAACCGAGTGTTCCGCTATTCTGGTATTAACGAGGGCACCCAGTCGCGTGGCACTAAAAGCAAACACTCCTAGCCTCTGCGACTTCTAACTCAGAATACGGACAGTACTGGAAAGCACTGGATAAGCGGAAGGTCATGGCATTCGCAAGAGCGCTGAGACATAAACATAACATCGTGAAATGTCTAAACGGAGTGTCACGCGCCTAACGTGTTTGGGTTCTGTCTGAAGTAAGCGGGACCAGCGCTGTCAAGCTGCCGGATATGGATGTGTTCTGTCGTACCACTGGCTGGCATATCCCTGGCCTAATATGTATGACTCGTACACCACTGAACACCTTTCTCTTAATTCTTTCTCGACTCATGCTCTGACCCCCCTCGGCAGGCGGCAGGCTCAACTCTAACCCATTCCCCGACTTTCGACTCTCACTGTTCTGACCCCCCTCGGCAGGCGGCGGGTTCGCGATGGCACGCGCCGCCAAGGACTCTGGCCTGTCGGTGCTGATCGGCGACCGGCTGTCGTTCGCGTTCGACCTGCCGCCGGCGGCGCTGGTCTTTATCGTGTGCCTGTTCACCGCCATGGTCACCGAGGTGTCCAGCAACACGGCCACCGCCACCGTGCTGCTGCCGGTGCTGGCGGCCGCCGCCCAGGACGCCGGCGTCAACCCCATCTACCTCATGCTGCCCACCACGATGACCTGCTCGTACGCGTTCATGCTGCCGGTGGCCACGCCGCCGAACGCCATCGTGCACCAGGCGGGCGGTCTGAAGACCAAGGACATGATCCGCGCCGGCGCGTTGATGAACGTGCTGTGCGTGGCCGTGATCACGCTGATGACCAACACGCTGGGGGTGGCGCTGTTCGACCTGCACACGTTCCCCGCCTGGGCCAACGTCACCAGGAACGGCACGGCCACGTAGGAGGGGAAGGGAGGGAGAGGGGGGGGAGAGAGAGGGAGGGGAGAGCAGAGAGAGAGAGAGGGAGAGAGCAGAGTGAGAGAGAAAGAGAGAGAGAGAGAAGGGAGAGAGGGGGAGAGAGAAAGACAGAGAGAGAGAGAGAGAGAGAGAGAGAGAGAGAGAGAGAGAGAGAGAGAGAGAGAGAGAGAGAGAGAGAGAGAGAGAGAGAGAGAGAGAGAGAGAGAGAGAGAGAGAGAGAGAGAGAGAGGGGGAGGGGGCGTTTGAATGTAGTTCTGCTCAACGAGAAAGTTTTATCTTCGAAGAATCGTGGGAATGTGACTGTGGGGAAACATAACACGAGACGAGGCAATAATAGCGCTTTATGAAAGATAATCGCATGAACGTTATGTGCATCGCCGAGTAGCCGTTTCATTATCATTCTGATGCCTTCATGTTCATGGTCCTGCTCATCTGTGACGTGCCTGTTGTACTGTAGGTTGCAAATCTCGCAAATGGTATCTTAGTGTTATGACGTGGTGTGAGTGGCAACCATTCAATTCGAAATGTTTGAATTTAATGTTTCTCTAGACGGCTTACCTAAAAGCATCTTATTTGAGCACTGTACTTCAAATGCAGCTTCTTCACTTGGAAAGAACAGGTTATTAAACAGTTTACGATCTTCCAAATCCGATCAAATAGGCGACATTTGAAAGAAAAATATTTTATTTGCCTTAACTGGGATTCCGTTTTAGCCTTGTACTTGGTTTGCCAATGCTGCGTCGGGAGACACACAGTGCCAACTTCGTTTATACTGGCATTGCCTGTTGAAGTATCGTTGTTCTTATTTTGCCCTAGAAATCCCTTGGCCTAGCTCTTATCTTCAGACGGAGTGTATGGTTCATGTGCTGAAGTGCTGTGCTGTGCTTGTGTATTGTGCAAGCCAGTCGGGAACTGGATTTGACCAAGACGGTGACTTGCCATTCCATTGCCATGGCGCTCGGCGCAGGCGACAGACAGTATCCATACATACTACGCTGAATTTTCCATTGTGTGTCTGCCGGTGTGCCGTGTTAGGCGGGTTCGAATATTGCTGCCAATTTTACAAGTGATGAAAGCGGCTATTCGAGTACGTTTGTCAACAGCATTACGCGGTTCCAGTAGCCCGAGGGGTCTTTTGAACGTCTTTTCGACGAGCAGGTCATGCCATTTTTATAGACGCTGGTTGCCAATTACAATGTGACTTCCATCCTCTCAGTGTTCAAAGTGTTACAATACATGGCCTTCGACGCGCGTACAAACGCATTTGTTTAAATACATATATCGTTCTTTCGTATATCGTTGAGAGCTGTTGCGAGGAGCATGATAAATGTAGGAAGTATCATTAGAATATATGACCTTCTCCTCGGAAAATGACCAAATGACCAAATGAATGAAAATGATTATTTATTGATGAATTGATCAATTCATCAATAAATAATCATTTTCATTCATTTGGTCATTTTCCGAGGAGAAGGTCATATATTCTAATGATACTTCCTACATATATCGTTCTATGGATAAGCAACTTTGTGCGGTGCATTTACTCGTAAAGGTTCACAAAAAGCTGTAACAATTCGACGGAAACTGGCGCACTAGCTTCCGACTTGACAGACAATACATTGATGACAATAGCACAGATATACGGCAGAACTGTGCGGGGAGGTTACAGTCGCTGGTAGGCTGGGCTCTGTTGACAGAAACTGGACAGCTTGATCAGGGTTTGGTCATCGGTGGGACGTCGGCCAGTGACGCACGTATCACTGCATAAAATCCACTGCAGCGCTGGCGTCAGCACCGGGAACAAGGATGTCAACGGACGTAATTGACATTGTGCAATATATCTACGCCAGGGGATGCGTATTGCGTAAATCAAGATTGGTCTTCATACGAATGCTGGATAACTAGGTGTACATAAACACAGATAACATGAAGGGAAGGCTATACGTAGCTACATTATGAGTTATGACTAGGCAAGCTGAATCGTCAAACTGCACCTCAATACCAATGAGTGATGTAATTTACTTCCAAGCTTTATTAGGTTGAAATATTGGTCTATCGGAATTTATTTGGACAAGTGTGAGTTCATAGCTGATTTAGAAATAAGATGGCCTTCTTCTACAAAATTTTGGGATGAATTGCGTGTTAGTTAATCAACTTAACAATGAAAGGCCATTTGTCATGCTGGTCCCGTAGTTCAGTCGGTATAGTATTGGACTCCGCGTGGCGAGAGCACGCGTTCCCGGTTACAACAGTCCGGGTTCGAAGCGCGACGGGCGCTTGACGTTTACGAGCCTCCTGACAGGTATGGTTGCAGTTGGTGGCAGGCCATAACCAGGCAGTCAGTCCGGCCGTGCGCGGCTATGGATCTGCTCCAGTCGCACTTCCTAACACCTCTAAACTCCTCCAAGATTGATTGCCCGTTCCCTAGTGGCAGCTCTAGCTCATACAAAGCCAAGGAGGGTCCTGCTCCACCTCCTCTATCTTGCTCTTGGAGGAGTTTAGAGGTGTTAGGAAGTGCGACTGGAACGACCCTATGTGCGCACGTTTAACTTTGGACTCCAAATCCTTCCATAGAACCGGAATTGCGCGATCGGAGGGTAAAGGGCAGGGTCTACGCAACAAGCTTCGCTTAGCGTGGGCGGCTCTGTCCTGTCCGCAAGGCGATATAGGTCTTGCGCTATACCTTGCGCAAATGTTGCGATCAACATTTTACATGTTGATCAATTTGGCAACAGATTCAGAGGTAAAGTAATTCAGCGCCATCCCAAAAATTGAGTGTGATGATTGATTATCACTTCCCACATAGGTATACATACTTGTATATAAGGATATCGAAGGCCTTGTAGTAATTACAGATGAATTATAATGAGTCTTTTTAATTCCTCTTCTTCGCTTTCCGACTCCTCCCTTTCCTTTTCTCTTTCCTTTTCTCTTTCCAACTTTGTCTCTGTTTTCGTCTTAACTCTTACCTCTTTCATCCTCTCTGTTCTTTGCTTATCCAATCCCTAGACATCTCAACTGCCGTCCACATTTAGTCCCCAAATGGAAGAGGATGACATGCGGTATCTTTCATTTCGCCAACGAACACAGCTGTCAACAGTCGCTTTTGAAGTATGATGATGATGCGGTGTTGAGCCAAAGACCGTTTTCGCACTCATGCCTTGTCAAGACTTATCACACCGAATTTATCGTCACGCCGATCAAGGAATGGCCGTGCAAAAAAAACGTACAAACATAGGTGACTGGCAAGGTTGTCACTTCTAGAACGCTGCCACGCCCTATAGCTGAACGCTCTGTTAGGCCGCATAAATAATGTTAAAGGGACTATCCCACCTTCTAAAATGTTGTTAAAACCAGTTAAATTGTGCCCGACTTTATAGATTGGATGACCAGGAACACGGTTCTGGCATTTATTTTTCATTAAACATCTTAGGCTTCCCATATTCCAAACACAAACTTTCAAATATGTGACGTCACAGCCCACAATTACCTCCTTCCCCAGGCCACATTACTGTCATAAAGCTGATTCTTTTACTCTGTAGGCACCACAACAAAGTTCAGACCAAGTTTCAAGCGATTTTTCAACGAACAAACCCATTTAAATCAGAATGACTAAACGAGGTGACGTCACACTAACGGTCGCTCCATGTTGAAGATAGGGCCTTGTACAAGGCCCATTTTCAAATGAAGGGAACTAATTTCTTCAACACCAAGAGGCCGCGGGGGTTGCAACCTAGATAGATATAGGTTTCTGAACCTCGCCGCAAACTTTGCTATCTCAACTCAAACCCCATGTTAAAGGTGGGATAGTCCCTTTAACCCGCGCCCCACTGGGGTCAGCGCATAATGCGCCCTACTCTGGGGGGAGGGGGGGGGGCTATTCATAGCCCCTCCTCTTAGCTCCGAAACTTCTGGGCCGATTGTCAAAACTCAAACGACGTCTAATAGCCCCGGAAAAAACTGTTCAGCGAAACCTAATTTCATTGACCTCCAGGTCACCGATGACGTCACAGGTCAGGTCAAAGTAAAAACTATCGATGTTTGGCTTGTTCACATTTTGGTCTCTGGTCCCCACCTTACAATTCAGATTAGGTTCATTTTTTGTTTACACACTGGTGAATAGATGCTTTACCCTGAGGGTACCAAACCTACACTTTGATTTTCAGGTCAGGGTCAGGTTGTCACAGGTTACGGAAATCTTATCACGCGCACCGACGGGGGGGGGGGGGGCGGATATCCGCCCCCCCCCCTGAGGTTTTTCGCGAATAGCGGGAAATTTGGTACGACTATTCTCTTATCAATTTTACACATGGTGTGCAAGTTTGAACCTGCCAACTTTTAAGGTCAGGTCACCAGGTCACTTTGAATGACCCAACCTCAAGTCACTTTTTTGCAACTTTGTCACCGTGCCAGAGCTACAGTAGATGTCGGAGGCCTTTGAAAGTCGCAGGATGTTATAAGGTCATTAGTAGCTACAATTTGTTGATCTCGGAATTTTGATATCGATGACCTAAGGTCAGGTCAATTTCTCGACCTCCCCATTATAAGTCAATGGGGGAAAAATCAACTCCCTGTTTTTACCACTAAAACGGGTCGGAATGGCCCCATAAACCATACCTGACCTAATATACGATCAACCTTCACTACCTTGGGGTCTGTTTTGCTGTTGGGCAGCTGTGAGGTCATGTGACGTCATCAAAGGTCACCAGTGGTTTTTTGACAATAACTCCGTACAGGAACAAGATACAGCCGCGCGGATGGTCTCATTGTGTTCAGCTCGTCAAGGCGCATCGAATAATATACATGATGACCTCGAGGTCACGTGACCTGAGGTCAACCTTTGACCTTGATCTTTCGAGGTCAACATATATTTCATTCGATGCGGATTGACGAGAGGATCACGATGATGCCCTTAGTTTGTTCCTACATTGACTAGTTCGAAAGTTATTCGAGAAAAACTCTCCATACCTAGCGCCGCCATTTTGACTTTTTTGACCCCTGTGACATCATCTTTGACCTGACCTGAAAATGACCTTAGTAAAAATTGTAGACCTTGTCCGTGCGTATCCCTTGCCGTTTACCGCTTGTCGCCATCTTGCTTCGTTCTCGAGATCTCAAGGGGGGCGGTCATCCGCCCCCCCCCGTCGGTACGAAGTTGGCGCAGACCCCCGTCGGTGCGCGGGTTATATCATGTATCGGTCACTGCACATGTTTTATGGTCAATTTAGGCCATAGCTTTCGAATTCAGTGTCGCTTATGTCATTTGAGGCCTTTTGCAGCTGAATATAGCTGAGGTCAGGTCACTTTCACGTCAAAAATGTCAAATTTTTAAGTTGAAATTGTCAATAAAAAGGTGTCTACAGGGTGATTTTTTTACTTGTTAAAAAGTAATTAGGTTTAGTGGGGTTAAAATGCAAATACATATTATAAAATTATATACCAGTATGACGAGCATTCTGGGACATTTCGATTTCATGCAAACACGATGTGAAGGAACGACCATCGTGTATTTTACTTGTGCTTGAACGGTTACCCCCTCTCTCACCGACACGAATCAGCCCGCCTGAGCACGTGTTGAACAGCACCATGAACTCCAATGCTAATTGGGCGGACTAAAAAGGCTCCTATCACCCATTTTCAGCTCTGCCAGATATTTCTAATGTTTTCTTGTTATATCTGCCATACCTGGGTCCAAAAACTAGAAGTCTAGAAAGGGCAGGTCGAGGATTTTGCTACTGGCGGCCCTCGTGGTGTCTGATTCGCTGTTTTTGTTTCTCCGGTCTCCCTGAAGACTGATTCTTGAGAGGCTGCACATACGCCAGATGGACCGTTTGAAGGCTATTTATGACTACAAGCTTGTTCGTGCATTATTTAACGTCTTTCTGAGGTATCTCCTTAACCCGCGCCCCAGTGGCGGACGGCGGTCTCAGCCAACTTCGCCCTAGGGGGGGGGGGGGGGGCATATGTTACCACCCACCTCTAACTCAAAAACTAAGAGGGCTAGAAAGACGCGGTAAAAAGTAGTCGATAGCTCTCAATGCGTACGTTTGAAAGTATTTCTGTCATTTTTCATCTTGGAGCAATATTGGGGTCACTGGAGGTCATCAAAGGTCAAAATTTGCCAAATGTCGTTATATTTTTCAGAAAACATGCATTTATCTCAGGAACTATGATAGCTAGAAAAACGCATGTAAGAGCAATCGATAGCTTATGAACTCTTCTTTTCATAAGGTCATCATCAAAATTGACTTCAGGTCAACGGTTTAGCCTCCAGAGGGCAACAACTCAAAAAATAGCTGTTTTTTCGCAAAGTGTTTTTCGACAATAACTTTTGACTAGAAAAAGCCACGACATTTCTATTGCCAGAATCGTGTTCCTCTCGACAAGACGCGTCGAATGAACTATAATTTGACCTTGAAAGGTCAACTTGAAAATTTGACCTCAGGTCAAGGTCATGACCTGACCGGAAAAGGTCATGTTGCATATCATTCGATGCGCCTCGGCAAGACAAACACAATGAGGTATCCCCAGCGTCCTATCTCTTTCCAATCGAGAGTTATTGGCAAAAATCTGTTTGCAGCCTCAAATGACCTCGGATGACCTTTCTAGAGGCTATCAGCAAAAATGACACCTTGGTCGTCACGGGTGGTCCAAATCATTGTGATTCTGAAATATTTGGACTGTACCTATGCGAACATACGGATCTAGAGGCATTTTCATTTTTCTCCATTGACTTATAATGATAAGGTCACGCCATTGACCTGACCTTAGGTCACGGATATAAAAAATCCAAGATAAACAAATTGTAGGCGCTCATAACATCATGCAATCCACCAAGTTTAAAACCTTTCTGACAAACACTGCAGGCTGGGCATGATTGCAAACTTTTTTTTAGGCCTGGTCAGTTAACTTGACCTGGTGACCTGACCTGACATGACCTGGGGTCAAAATTTCACACATTGTCCAAAATTGATGTACCAGAAGCTGCCCCAAGCGGCGCGGCGCTACGCGCCGCGGTTTTTTATTTATACGCAAAAAAACGCGACAGGGTGGTAACATATGCCCCCCCCACCTGGGGCGAAGGTTAATGATCGTATGCTTCGAACTGCCTCAATGCTTCAAAATCATCATTTTGTGTCGTTCCTTCCTGAACGGCGGTGGACCATGCGTGCCCGATTGGTGGGACATTTTCAGGCCCCATTGGGGCCGAGCCCTTCGATTAACCCTCGCTCGTAAACGGTGTTTTGCCACCTTCGCCCATGCAGGGGGGGGGGGTGCGACCCCCCTGGCGTTTGAAAACGGAGCGTCGTAGAGCTTAGAGGAAAAAACCAACGGATTGCTCTCAACGAGATCTCGCGATTGGTGGTATATTTTTTGGTCCTAGGTCAACATTCGACCTACTTATGACCGGTCAAAGGTCAAATTTCCGAAAAAAATCTAACTTTTTCAGATTTCCGCGCCGATTGCGGCAAAACGGTAAAAGATATCGACTTGAAACCCTCACTATCGTGATCCTTTATCAATTCTCTATCGTTTGGTGTATATTTTGATGTCATAACTATAAAAATGATGCGTTGGGAGCATCGGAAGTCTGCAAGGTCATTTGTGCATTGGGTCACGTCAGGCGTGTGACGTCACTGACCTGACCCTGAAACAAAATGAACTACAAGAAACAACCGACGATGCCTGAAATGGATAGCAAAGTCGAATTCAGGGCATCAAAATACCCCGAAAAGGCATACATAGTGCAAGAAGTCATTACAGGTCAACCGAGGTCACTGACCTTACCTTGACCTTAAGTAACCTTCAAAATGTCAACGGACATTGTGCCAATGTCAAATCAGCCAGTTGTGATTCTAAAACAATCCATCAGTGTGTCAGGTCAGTCGGCATTTATACCAATGCACAGTGGGGATTTTTCCGATCTAGCGCCTATTAATTCAAAAAAGCTTTTTTGGATTTTTGTTTATTTTTTTTGTGTCAGTGGGGCTCAGAAATGTCTGAATTTTTCATATATGGCATTGTTTTATCTGTATGCCCACAGCAAAACTAGGAAAAATGCGCCCAAAGTTCACACTCATGCGTGATTAGGGGAAGGTGGGGTAAGACGGACCAGCTAAGGTTTGAGGCCGCATATCTTGCTACACTGCTCTCGTAATTCATATTATTTATAGTCTTCGGAATGCTTAATCCTTCCTCTGTTGATATGTGTAAAGACTAAATTTCAAATTAAAGACATCTAGGTGGTGGATGCTCTTAAAGAGGGACATGTCAAAAACTCAGACAAGAAAAAACGTGGGGTAAGACGGACCACCCAGCAGTGCCTGCTATCCGTTCATGTGTGTTACACTTCTGCTCTGTACTCTTGTAAGAAAAAGTAACCAGAATGGTAAAATAACAAAATGAACCTTTATTCTTTACTCATGTGTGATGGAAGTGCAGCTAAAAGCTGGGGACATGTGTGTTGATTGTCGTTTGGCATGAATGCATGCTAACTGAGCACTTGCCTGCATTGCTCACATGCAACAAAGACTCCTTCCTGAAAAATTAGCTTACTTAACCCGCGCCCTGCTGGGGGGGGGGGGTGTTTGAACACCCCCCTTGTGGTTTTTCGCGAATATCTCAAAAACGGCGGCGCGGAGTGCCGCCGTTTTTGGTACACCTTATCATACATCAATTCTACACATGTTGTGAAAATTTCAGACCAAGGTCATTCAAGGTCATGTCACCAGGTCACTTGAAGTGACCTCACCTCATAAAAAGTTTCAATGTCTGTCATAGCTACACCGAGTGACCGATCGCTTTGAAACTTTCAGCGATTGCTAAGAGCAATAGCATGTACAAAATGTATATCTCAGAATTTTGATATCGATGACCTAAGGTCAGGTCAATTTTGCGACCTCCCCATTATAAGTCAATGGGAGAAAATTGAAATGCGCCTCTTTTGGACGAAAGACATTATAAACACTCCCAAACACTGAATTACAAGTGGTTTAGACACACTGAACATGAAAATGGTGTCCGTGATCCCTGTGTATGCCCTGAGGTCATCTTAGGTCACGAATGGTATCTAACAGTTTTTCGCAAATAACTTTTGATAGAGGCATGCTAGAGCGATGAAAACGCCTTAGATGTGTTCAGCTCGACGATACGGATCGACTGATATGCAACATGACCCTTTCCGGTCAGGTCATGACCTTGACCTGAGGTCAAATTTTCAAGTTGACCTTTCAAGGTCAAGTTATAGTTCATTCGATGCGTCTTGACGAGAGGAACACGATGCTGGTAAAAGTAAGCTCGTACAAGGCTTGGGTCAAAAGTTATTGCAGAAAAACTGTTTCCGAAAAAATCGGCTATTTTTGCAGTTTTTGCCCCCTGCAGGCAAAACCGTTGACGTTAGGTCAAATCTGAGGATATTACTCAGAAAGGGCGTTAATAGGGCTATCGAATGCGCTTTTCTGCGGCGCTGTAGCTCTATTGGTTCCCGAGTTATGCGTTGGCTTCTTGGAAATTGTCGACATTCGACCTGGAAATCGGCGAAATTTTGCCTTCAATGACCTCTGGTGACCTGACCTTTGACCTGACCAAAAAATTGACCGAAGTGATTTCCTCATTATTTTTGACGCTCTTTCGAACGCCGCCTCCCGCGTATCGCTACATGGCCCAGGAGCCGAGTTAGAAGGGGGGTGTTCAAACACCCCCCCCCCCCCCAGCAGGGCGTGGAAATCCAGGACCCCCAGCCGGGCGCGGGTTAAACTTGTGTCAATGTTTTGGAAAAGAACTTTCCATATGCACTTTCCATTCCATTGTGATGCACCAGCTAGAGCATTCTTGAAGTGTGTGAAAGGCCACAGTGGGTACCATTCGTGTGAGAGATGTGACCAAGCTGGTCGTCATATCCAGAACAGAATGACTTTTCCTGATATGGGTGCAAATGTTAGGAATGATCATCTTTTCAAGCAGATGCAAGATGAAGATCACCACACTGGCATTTCACCACTATCAGTGCTGAATGTTGGGATGGTTTCTTGTTTCCCTCTGGACTACATGCATTTGGTCTGCTTAGGGGTTATGAGGAAGCTGGTAGCCCTGTGGCTGCAGGGTCCTTTACTCTGTAGGCTTCCTGGGCACGCAGTTAGAGAAATATCAGAACGCCTGAAAGGTCTGTATGGAAGTGTGCCTCAGGACTTTGGACGACGACCAAGGTCATTGAATGAATTCCGGATGTGGAAGGCAGTGGAGTTCCGACAGATTTTGCTGTACACCGGCCCAGTTGTGTTGAGTGGTGTCCTTCCAAAGAAAAATTACCACCACTTTCTTCTTCTGTCTGTTGCCATGCGCCTTCTCCTGAGTGAGAAGCCGACTGCGGAGGAGATTGACTATGCTGAGAAACTGCTACGCATGTTTGTGGTGGAGTTCCCTGCATTGTATGGCAAAGAGAATGTTGTTTACAATGTGCATTCCCTCATTCATATCGCTGATGATGCCAGAAAGTTTGGGGGTTTAGATGGCATATCTGCTTTTGTGTTTGAGAACTTCCTGAAGGACTTGAAGAAATTGGTCAGGAAGCAGCATCAGGTAGTTCCTCAGATAGTGCGTCGGGTCCTCGAGGCACAACAGGTTGATTCTTCACTAAAAGGGCTCGAGTCTAGTGTACAAGGTGAACACTTCAGTGGGCCAGTGCCAGACGAATGCAATGGGCACTACAGACAGTTCACAAAGTTGAACGGAAAATTGGTACTCTCCATCAAAGACAGGGACTGCTACATTGAATGCGATGGAGGAATTTTCAAGATACTCAACATCATCCAGGACAAATCGGGTGAGGTCAAGCTTGTGACCGATCAGTTTGAAAAAGTGGGGGATCAGTTCAGCTTCCCTTTGCCTTCATCTAGTCTTGGCATTGTTCATGTCAGACAAGGATCAAAGAGGATGAATGTTACTGACCTGAAGTCCATCTCTCACAAGCTTTGGTTGATGAAAGATGCTCATGGCGTTTCTATCGTAGTTCCACTGCTTCATAACGCCTAGAAAGTCAGATTGCCAATGCTGTTCTCCACTCCATGGCATCCAGTACAAGTGAGTGGAGATTGGCTGGTTCCAAAGAAGCAATTTTTTCCTATCAGATTCTTATTGTGTGGTATGTTCACACTTCACATGCAGATAAATTAAAAATTAAACGTTAAACGTGTTGATCAGAGAAAATTTCTGCTCTCACATTAGTTTTGTGAGATATGCACTTAGATCTGGGATAGTCGAGCAGGCTTTAACTATAAGGTAGGATTCATGAACATGCCTTTTAATTACTTAATTTGTCCATGCTGTCAGTCAGCCAAGAGTGTGCACATTGCGCACCTCATGAGAAAACGTTGCCATGGTACTGAGACGTGAGCCCAAATAATCATTTTGAACTTTTTTGTATGGTAAGGTTCTCAATGGTTATTGAACAAGTGTGGCATGCAGTGTTGATGTTGATCACTTTTCCCTAGGCCATGTATGCCATCGTGGAGTTCGTGGGAGAGAACAGCACCGCTATCATCGCCCAAAGATGGTTCGTGGACGCAGAGGAGACTTCTTGCTTTTGGCCTCCAAGGAAAGCTGATGAGCAGGCTAGAAACCTTGCCCCGGCTTCACCTTCATGGAACAAGCATGACGTTAGGGTGCTTGGCAAAGCAGGTATGGCATCCCATCAGGCTAGCTTTAATCTTTTGCAAATGATTCATTTATGAATGAAAATTTTGCAATGATTCATTTTAAACCTTAACAATACTTTATGTATATCCCTGTAAAGTGAGTCAACAGTATTGTTTAAGCAGTAATATACTAAAGCATGAATTTGTTTGCGCTTTGTGTCAACCTGAGAAGTTAAATTTGGATTCTGTAGGAATTGTCATTTTCCAAAGAATCTGATAATTTTGTTGCAAAGTTCTATCAATACTAGGAAAGAAATGACGCGTCTAGAGGCACCCCTCCCCATGTGCATTTTAGGGTGGGAAAATCGCATGTGCGGGCAACGATTAACATTTTATGTCATTTCCACTAGCAACCTATGAGCGAGCCAGAGAAAAACTGACCCGAGCCGACGAAACTTCGGACCTGCAGACCGAGGACGAGGAAACTGCACGTAAACGGCGGTAAGTGTTTCTTGTGCTAGAAATACTGAGAGTTTAATAGGTAACCAATTAAGAAATAGGAAAACAAGACTGCTCTTATTATAAGATGCAATCAATATGAGGAGCCACTTAACTATGACGGATGGCGTCGTCCATGACGGGTAATACATCACACCTCGAGAAGTTGCGGGTAATGCTAACACCTCAGGCTGTTTCACTCGCCAACTACCTGCGCCCCGTGAGGAATTACAGTGCCAGGGCATTGCGAGCAACCGAGCAAGTTTATTTGTCCTTGGTCCTTTCCATTTAATTTTCAATATTCATATGAACACATCAAGTTAATATATCATTTGAGCATCACATGCTTATCCTCAAATTAATGCTTTATTACATGTTTTTATGCCTTTCGCTAGCCTCAGTGACTCCAGTTGAACGCAGTTTAATTATGTACGGTGTGTGTGGGTTTATACACTTGTTTGTATGTGAATTGAGCATTTGTGATGTGTTTTGCAGCCGGGTCCGGCACAGAGCTGTGTCGTCCAGCTCGGAGTCCGGGGAGGAAGAGGAGGTGATGATGCGGGCTCCTACGCCGCCGCCCGCTATGCGCTGCACCAAGAGTGCGACAGCACGCCCGACCGTCCAGCCGAAACCGTCTGGCTCCAGCTCTGCGCCGAGCACCTCAAACGGGTCCGACTGTCGACCTTCCACGAACGGACAGAGCGGTGAAGGTAATTTGTTGTGCGGCATACTGTGGATGGCAGGATTTTTTTTTTCGCAAGCGAATTAAAAAGGTTAATGACGCCAGTCACGTCGTCATCAAGCAAACTCATGAATGTTATTTAAGTAATGGACACTGACTAGGTAGCTAAGGGTTAAGTGTTTCGCTTCTTGGTATGCTTTAAATAAAAATGTGTAAATTGACCTTATGCTTATAACTTCGGAGAATTTAATTGAAAGAAGGTCTAGAATACATTTTCGGACTTTGTTTTCTTTAGGCGAGATCAAGCAACAATCAAAATTCAAAATTCAATTCATTGTTAAGCGGTATTGATTATTGCTTTCATCATAGCGACATTGATTTTTGCTTTCACCTTATGGTTGTCAACCTTTAAGGGATTGTTGTAATCGTGTCGTTTCAGACCAATCTTCAGTTCGTGGACTATTCGAACACTTGATAACGATGCTCGAGGACTACAAAGAGCGTCAAAATGAGATCCGCGAAACGCAGCAGGTCCATGGCGCCCTGCTGCACAGCATCCTGCGGCGGTTAAACGGCGGCGGCAGCGTCCCAGCCACGGCGGGAAGACTGCCGAGCGGAGCTGCCGGCCTGCCTCTGACCTCGATGGACGAGTTCAGAAGCCTTGAAGAGAGGCTGGGTGCGGACGAAGAGTTCGTGCAAGCCATGGTAAGTAAAAAAGGACAGTTTTTTTCAAACGGAACATAAAGCATATGTCACACGGCAGTTTCATATTGTGACCCTCAGTGACCTGACCTGAGGCCAGTTTCACCAACAAAAATAGACGGCTGCGATTTTTTTTTTGACAAAACGATAGTCTTAAAATGCCATTTACTGCTGAAAATACTAATCGCTGACTTGAAAAATGTAACAGCTTAGCTTTTAAGTGCTATATAATTTGGTCAGCAATTACTTTTTTCATGTGTTATTTTTTTAAAAAAATAATTGCAACCGTCTATTTTTTGTTGGTGAAACTGGCCACTGGTGGTAGTGACCTTAAATAGCAAAATATTGTTTGACGAACAAGTCTCCGTCGATGATTTTCAATAACATGTGACGATTTTACAACACATTTCTTGAAATGCCTGTAAAAGGTGAAAATGCGACTCTTGACGTGACCTGTGACGTCATCGGTTTGACCGAGGTCAATGAAATTGGGTCACAAGGTAGTTCCCCGGTGGGGCTATCGAACGCTGTTTAAATCTTTAAAGTCGGCCGGTAACTTTCCGAGATCTGGGGGGGGGGCGAAAGGCCTCCCCCCTCTACGGGTGGTAGGGTCCGCTGATAGACCTACGGGGCGCGGGTTAAGTTATCGGTTAGCCCGCCCATTACGTTAATCACACGAGGTCTGATTTCACAGGTGCTGTACCTGGGCGACAAAGGCGGCAGCACCGTTGGCGAGTGTGTCCGCCGCGTCATGGCCCAACTGATGAGGAGCGGCCTTGGGCAGCGCTTCAATATGAATGGGGCCCAGCGTCACGGAAAGACGGGCTTTAGAGCAACGAAGCTCTACACTGTCGTCTACAGTAAGCACATCTTCTAACCCGTTTTCTTAATACATTTCTATCGTGATGCTCATTTTATGGATAATGAAGTAGACAATTGTTTTTCTTTAATTACCTCATTAAAAACGTTACCTCACCAGTTTTGCTTTTATCACAGTATAAAGTTCTCGCTTCCTTTTGCTTCAACTGCGTTTATCTGAATTACCAGAAGCAACGCACGACTCTACCGCCAGCAAGACGCCTTTCTGGGCGACAAACTAGCGAGTGCGTCAGTTTCTTATTCTACATCTCGCTAGCTCATAACGGAAGGATTTGCTCGCTCGTAACAAGCTTTTTGTTGTTTTTTCGACAGGGGCAGTCAAACAGAACCCGGCCTTGTCGGTCACCGAGAAAGAGATCGCCAACGCCATCGGCAAGTGGCTGGTGAACAGCCGAGACCGGGAAGGGTACAGGACGGCGCGCCAGGCCACCAACAGTAGCGGCGGTGGCAGCGGGGACGCCGACACCAGCAACGGCGGTGGCGGCGGCAACGGCGTCGAACAGAACGATGTCGCTGACGAGGGCGGGGCGGTGTAGTGCATCACCTAGTGTCTCGCGTGGAATATACGTTTAAAGGAAACTGTCGTAGTTGTTGATGTATGAATGTACCAGAAGTGAAAGGAAGCGACGTAGTTTTAGTCCACAAAAGGACCTACAGCCAATCAGTAGTTTACCATGTAGTCCTTGCGTGGGACAGCTGACAAAGTTGCCTATCGCGATACCTGTTTGATATTCTTGTGGGCAGCACATGGTTATCAAATGGGATAGCCTGATATGGGATGAATGGAGCAGCCACGTGGCTACCACAGGGGAAGCCCATATCGACAGTTCCGAGCAAGAACATCCTAAGTGTCAAATTTTTTCGAAATTGAAAATTTTTTATACCATTCGACTCAGCTTGTCGAGCTGAGTCGAATGGTATAAAAATATCAACTTCGAAAAATTTGACACTTAGGATGTTCTTGCTCAGAACTGTCGATATGGTTATGAGGTGGGGCAGTCCATATGATTACCATATGGAGCAGCCCATATGGTTACCACATAGGAAAGCCCATATGGTTACCACATGGGGCAGCCCATATGGGTACCACGTGGGGCAGCCCATATGGTTACCACATGGGGCAGCCCATATGGTTACCACATGGGGCAGCCCATATGGTTACCACATGGGGCAGCCCATATGGTTGCCACGTGGGGCATCCCATATGGTTACCACATGGGGCAGCCCATATGGTTACCACATGGGGCAGCCCGTATGGTTACCACATGGGGCAGCCCATATGGTTACCATATGGGGCAGCCCATATGGTTACCACATGGGGCAGCCCATATGGTTACCACATGGGACAGCCCATATGGTTACCATGCAGAAACACCTTCCAATTATGTGTGGTGCCCATATGGGCAGCCCATGTGGGCACCATGTGGAATAGATGGGCATGCCCATATGGTAACCACATGGTTATGATGTGGGTGTGTTATCTGGGATTGGTTCCCGAGTTATGCGTTGGCTTCTTGGAAATTGTCGACATTCGACCTGGAAATCGGCGAAATTTTGCCTTCAATGACCTCTGGTGACCTGACCTTTGACCTGACCAAAAAATTGACCGAAGTGATTTCCTCATTATTTTTGACGCTCTTTCGAACGCCGCCTCCCGCGTATCGCTACATGGCCCAGGAGCCGAGTTAGAAGGGGGGTGTTCAAACACCCCCCCCCCCAGCAGGGCGTGGAAATCCAGGACCCCCAGCCGGGCGCGGGTTAAACTTGTGTCAATGTTTTGGAAAAGAACTTTCCATATGCAGGGTACAATGGACCACCACAGGGTAAGATGGACCACAGTGGTCCGTCTTGCCCCAAATCTAAATTCTGTCATTATCATGACGTATATGTCAAATAGCCCAACATTGCAAAACCTTGCCTTTCCTTAAGTGTGACTATAACTAAGCTTATAACTTTGTTCTTCACAGTTAACCCGCGCCCGGCTGGGGGTCCTGGATTTCCACGCCCTGCTGGGGGGGGGGGGGTGTTTGAACACCCCCCCCTTGTAACTCGGCTCCTGGGCCACGTAGCGATACGCGGAAGGCGGCGTTCGAAAGAGCGTCAAAAATAATGACGAAATCACTTCAGTCAATTTTTTGGTCAGGTCAAAGGTCAGGTCACCAGAGGTCATTGAAGGCAAAATTTCGCCGATTTCCAGGTCGAATGTCGAAAATTTCCAAGAAGCCAACGCATAACTCGGGAACCAATAGAGCTACAGCGCCGCGGAAAAGCGCATTCGATAGCCCTATTAACGCCCTTTCTGAGTAATTCTCTCAGATTTGACCTAACGTCAACGGTTTTGCCTGCAGGGGGCAAAAACTGCAAAAATAGCCGATTTTTTCGGAAACAGTTTTTCTGCAATAACTTTTGACCCAAGCCTTGTACGAGCTTACTTTTACCGGCATCGTGTTCCTCTCGTCAAGACGCATCGAATGAACTATAACTTGACCTTGAAAGGTCAACTTGAAAATTTGACCTCAGGTCAAGGTCATGACCTGACCGGAAAGGGTCATGTTGCATATCAGTCGATCCGTATCGTCGAGCTGAACACATCTAAGGCGTTTTCATCGCTCTAGCACGCCTCTATCAAAAGTTATTCGCGAAAAACTGTTAGATATCATTCGTGACCTAAGATGACCTCAGGGCATAAGCAAGGGTCACGGACACCATTTTCATGTTCAGTGTGTCTAAACCACTTGTAATTCGGTGTTTGGGAGTGTTTATAATGTCTTTCGTCCAAAAGAGGCGCATTTCAATTTTCTCCCATTGACTTATAATGGGGAGGTCGCAAAATTGACCTGACCTTAGGTCATCGATATCGAAATTCTGAGATATACATTTTGTACATACTATTGCTCTTAGCAATCGCTAAAAGTTTCAAAGCGATCGGTCACTCGGTGTAGCTATGACAGACATTGAAACTTTTTATGAGGTGAGGTCACTTCAAGTGACCTGGTGACCTGACCTTGAATGACCTTGGTCTGAAATTTTCACAACATGTGTAGAATTTATGTATGATAAGGTGTACCAAAAACGGCGGCGCTCCGCGCCGCCGTTTTTGAGATATTTGCGAAAAACCACAAGGGGGGGTGTTCAAACCCCCCCCCCCCCAGCAGGGCGCGGGTTAAGTGCAAAATAGAAACTAATCATGCAAGAAAGGCGCCGTAATTGAATCACCCGTAGACCTCTTATATTAGATCGGTTTGACGAAAAACAACATTTTTCTCAATAACTCAAAAGCTATGCATCATAGCAGCATGAGCTCAAGGTGGCCATTGTTACGAAGGAAAACAAACATAGTGAGTGCATAAAACAGTAGATACCAGCAGCGGTTCAGCCGGGAGGGCTGGTGGTCCGTCTTGCCCCGCCGCGCTGGGCCGTCTTACCCCACCTTCCCCTACTCAATGGGCTCAGCAAGGCCCAAAGGTATAGCTCAATTTCATTGTGCTGTCCTGTTGGTTTTAATCTTGCGAGGTCTTAAAGTTGCATATCGTCTGAAAGGCAACTTTATTAGGAATGGAATGGCAAACAGAAAGTATGCCACAACCTTACTAAGATCACAAAAATGCCCTTTACAAAAAACCCTTACAGACACCATATTGAAGGAATGGTATTCTAAATAAATGTAGGAAATCAACAATGTTCTCCACACTTTTCCACTCCGAAATATATCCTATCGAATTCGCCACTTTCTCCTGCACAAGACAACGCCTAGTTTGGCTGCCGAAACTTGCCTGAACACGGAATATTCACATTAGAGTATCTTAACACCCCACTCGAGGAGCGCTAGGGCAAACAGCACGATATAGGTATTTCCCATACCTGCTACATTGCATGATTAAATCGAGACATCCAGGCATTTTAATGGCACGTGCACTGTACCACTTTTTTCAAAGTTTAATGCAGTGCTTTAATATTGCCAGCCGTGTGGTTCAAGGGGTGTGTAATTATCTATAAGAATCTTGGGTGTGGTTAAACGCGTTGAACCACACGGCTGCTGACGTCACTATCAATTATAGTTGTGACTTGTGAGCTTTTTGGCAGGTATGGGAAACACCTTCCAGCCCTAAGGCCGGAAATTCAATAGATGTCCTCTCGCTTTTTTAGCGAAAAGAACCTCGGGCCTAACGGCAGAGGTCAAAAAAACTTCCTACTCGCTTACATTGTAGGCGACAGAAGCTGGCAGGCACCAGAGACATTTGGTGACAAAGTCACGAAAATGGTGAACACACTGCATCGCATTTGTTGACGGCGTTTGCGCACACTGCTAGCGAACAGACTAACCAGCCAATCCGCGGCGAGAATAACCCTGAGCGAACCAATCGGATGCTGGTGACACGGGGGGACAACGCTGAGCTGACGCCCCAGCCGCCAGGGAGCCTTCACTGTGGATTTTGTAGGCTCCAGGAGCCAACGCATCAAAGATTTTGAGCGGGCCTCTTCGGCGAGAGGTGTACTGTGATCATGAACACGTAACAAAACAGGAGTGGACTCTCGCGAGTAGCGAGTAGCCGCGTTCGCAACGACACTTAAGGCACGCAGCTTAATAAGCTACCTAGGTAGCTAACTAAGCCACCTTTGGTAGGAGAGCGTATAGTAGACACGAGGAGGCGTCTAGTTTCAACTATAATAATTCGAAATATTGGAAATTATAGGGCAGTTTTGCGGTAAATACATAATATTATGCACTATTACTTAATGGAAATTGTTGTTGAAGCATGCTGTAAGTCAATAATCCAAAATAACTTAAATAATGTATTCATCCGGTTGTACCAAATTGTCTACCATAAAATATCACAAAAAGGCTGCGGGAAGGCAGTAGTGGCTGTGATGAGGTGCAATTCGATGTCTTCTTTTATTTATTCTGTGTTAGAACCAGTGTCTTGAGTGGTGCTCCAGCTATTTGATGTGTACATATTTGTGAATTATATTAATTTATCGCAAATTGTGCCTCATACCTTCAGGTTAGTTAAATTGGCAAGCATATCGTGTTCTCAATTTTCATCTCTTCCCAATACCGTCCACGTGTTGCGGTGTTTTGCCTTGGGCTGCGATAGTTTGCGTGCAAGATCGTCCGGGCTGGATACGTAGTGGCGCTGCCGGGCCGCGCGCCAGCCCCAGTGGCAGCGATGAGGAAACATAGTTTTCCTGGGAACTAGATGTGTCGCAGCGCCCAAGCCCAGGCGGTGCTGTCGGGGCGCCGTTCCCCCGCCCCAGTGGTGCTACCGGTCCCGGCGAGACGTTCAGAGCGCGCGCTGGCCGGAGCGGCGTTGCAGAAGCGCCGCGTGATGGTCCCAGTCGCGTGGCCGAGGAATCGCATGCTCTCAGCGACACCGAAGAGGACCTGCTCATGGACAACGATCAGCGCCGAGCGTCGGTGTCTCCGCGTTCGGGCTCCGGCGATGAGGTCCACGGGATGGGTGCCGGACCGAGCACCGGCCCTGCCGGCGCTACCGGGCCGCGCGCTGGCCCCAGTGGCGTGGCCCCAGCGGCGCGCGCCGGACCGAGCACGGGCCCCAGCGGCGCTGCCGGGCCGCGCGCCGGCCCCAGTAAACAGGGATAAACTCAATAAACAGGGACTGGTGTTTAGCATAACAATTGTGCGTTTGCCAATGAAGCAAAATGTAATAGACAATTTTCATTCAAGGTTGTTTTCAGCAATTAAGCCAGCTGGCAACTGGCGAGAGAGGGCCACGCTAGACCCGGGAGGACCGTGCCGCCATCTACCTGCGGCACGTTAAACTTTCGATCCAAATTATCACCGGTGAACCGGGCGCGGGCAAGGTGGGGTGGTGGGTCCGTGGTGTCATTCGCAACAAGCACTGCTTAGCGGGGCACCCGGGCCCATAGCCACCCATTCATCCATTCGGACAAAATTTCTAAAAAAAAAAAACTATTAAAGAAGCACAGTTAAGCAGCACACCCAATGTGTCATAGCATAATGTCAAATTCGGCCTTTTAAGGGTGGAATTGTGCTTTTCAGGACCTTTTGAACACAGGACATGTAATACGACGGGTGAATGAAACAGTTTGTTTGTTTTTTTGTCGTTTATTCATGATTATGGGCATGGACAATGGACAGAAATAAAGTTGAATTGGTGCAAAAGCATAAACTTATTACGAGGCACCTCTTCAACAAAACAAAACGAAACAGAGCATCACCGAAATAAACACACACACACACCAGGTCCCACGCGCAACCCCGCCGCCCCGACGAACCTTCCGACCACTATAGCTGGACCACACGCGCTCCGCCAGCCTGCGGCCTCCCCCTAACTTTGTACGGCGGCCCGTCTGGCCAGACCGGGACGGTGCCGTTCCATGGCATATGCCGTCCCGGCCCCGGGGAGAGCTGTGGGATACCTCCCCGGGCCGGGGAGATCTGGTGGATACCTCCCCGGCGCTCCAGACGGGCCGCGAGCCCCCGCCCGCACCCCCGGAAAAGTTGGATATGTGCATCACTGACAAGGCAGGTGGATATGATCAACACTAACAAGTTGATAACTAGAAAGCTAAATATTCAGCCATATCAGTTTTTTGTGACAAAGCAAGATTTTATAAGCAAGGATATAAGCAATATAAGCAAGGATAAGCAAGGATATGTCTTTGAAAGCGGCAAAAAGAGGCTGAGGCTTCTACTTTAATATTTTTTAGCTGACAGTACACTGTACAGTGAATTTTAGCTGACAGAAATTATTTTAGCTTCCATCACTAGTTTTAGATGAGAGAAATCCAACCATTCAAAGCATTCGGACTAAATTTATATAAAAATTATTGACACCAGAGGAAGCAATATTGGCCAAAATAAACAAATAATTTCAAAAACAAGTTAGATAGACACTGCCAGAATGAAGATGGAAGACGAAGTCATGTGTGCATCAAATGGATGAAGTCTAAATAAAGCCTAGGTATAGTATGCAACTTTTAACACTGCATTAGAAAAGCATGTGGCACTTTTCCTAGCTATACACAAAAATGGGGACTTTGAAGCAGGATTGCAAATGAGTGAGGGCAAACTTTAAACATGGTTTTGATTTTATCAAAAAGTTAAGTGAGCTCCGTCACATCAATTACTTACCAGCTTTGAAAGATAAAGGCATGTACCTCATACCTGTACCATGATTTATTTACTGCTTCACAGCTCGATTAAATAGAATGAACAAGGAAAAATTTTGTTTGGCATTTAGGCAAATAACTTGTTAAGAATTGATGAAATCGTATAAAAAAATTCACATCCAGATCTGAGTTATTGAAGCAAAGAGAATATGTCTTATCGTTTGTTTATTCCAAAGAAGCTTGGGCAATTAAAATATAATGAATTTGGCATGCTTCTTACCCAAACACTTAAAAGATGAAATCGTATTGATTAAAACTACCTTCTCCCCAACTTGGTAGATAGGTTCCCATAAAAAGGTACTTGTGAACATTTCCCTATCAACGCAGCTTCGCCATCCAGCTTGCAGCGCAGCCCAAGTTTTCTTCCTCTACTGGTTGGATAATTGTTGCCACAAAGAACAATAATAATTTAGGCAAATAAAAATGATAAACAAAAGCACTTAAAAATAAAAAAGAACAATCCTTATTACACGACACAACACACCAGCTTGAAAAGCAGTCCACAAACACAGCACGAATGTAATTTTGATGCATCAGGTTTTCCTCACTCTAAAAACCTTTTTTCAATTTGTACTTCTAATCATTTTGTATACAAAACGTTACAGCAATGTATTGCGTTACTGAACATTAACCACTAATTCCCAGATTCTAATTACTAACTCAAGAACTCACATACCCTCCAGTTAAAAGGCAAACTGTAGCTTCGATTTGACTTTGATCCATTTGTTTCCTGATTCATGGCACCATCACTGTCACTGCATTATAAATACTCCACCTATACTCCAACCTCCTGTTCGAAATACAACTCAAACACACTATAAAAGCCTATCACATAATAGATACCATAAGTAAAAACAATAATAGAAATAAATCCAAACTATGAATGCGATGACTGATAAAATATACACCATTCAACCTTATTATACGACACAAGCCGTCGACTTCTCAAACCTCGACAAACGCAGCGCAGTTGATCGAGCTATGCCCTGGAGGCAATTTTCTATCGATTTAGTGCGGAATAAGTGCCAACAAAATAAAAAAGTACCGAGTGAGTAAAACTGTAAGCTATCTGAATTTTCCGGAAGACCGAGGCAGCTTGCTAAGCTACCTCCGGCGGAGGTGGCTAACGTGGCATCGTGGGATGCCAGAAGGGCTGGTGGTCCGTCTTGCCCCGCCGCGCTGGGCCGTCTTACCCCACCTTCCCCTACTCAATGGGCTCAGCAAGGCCCAAAGGTATAGCTCAATTTCATTGTGCTGTCCTGTTGGTTTTAATCTTGCGAGGTCTTAAAGTTGCATATCGTCTGAAAGGCAACTTTATTAGGAATGGAATGGCAAACAGAAAGTATGCCACAACCTTACTAAGATCACAAAAATGCCCTTTACAAAAAACCCTTACAGACACCATATTGAAGGAATGGTATTCTAAATAAATGTAGGAAATCAACAATGTTCTCCACACTTTTCCACTCCGAAATATATCCTATCGAATTCGCCACTTTCTCCTGCACAAGACAACGCCTAGTTTGGCTGCCGAAACTTGCCTGAACACGGAATATTCACATTAGAGTATCTTAACACCCCACTCGAGGAGCGCTAGGGCAAACAGCACGATATAGGTATTTCCCATACCTGCTACATTGCATGATTAAATCGAGACATCCAGGCATTTTAATGGCACGTGCACTGTACCACTTTTTTCAAAGTTTAATGCAGTGCTTTAATATTGCCAGCCGTGTGGTTCAAGGGGTGTGTAATTATCTATAAGAATCTTGGGTATGGGGGGGGGGGAGCTTCAGGAGCACAAATCAGGAGCTTTTACGGCCCAACGATCACCCTAGGCAAAGATTCCATTTCTTGTCCCGAAAAAGTGCCTTGCTGATCAAATGCGTGCCTTGCTGAAGAAATACCCAAAATGCAGCCACCTCAGCCTCAGCTTGGTGTCAGCCAATCAGCATGCTACTTACAGCCAATGGGTTTGTTCTACGCAATATGATTGGTCAATGCATAATAGGGTTCCGCGTCAAACAATATTTTACATATAATATAGTTCCTCCTATATTAATATATAGAAAATAATCTTGTGAAAAGGTTTTATTTTATTTGCTGATCATTTTGAGCATAAAAAATCCAAAATTCATTTAAGTGACTATCCCACATTTAACATGGGGTTTGAGTTGAGATAGCCAAGTTTGCGGTGAGGTTCAGAAACCACTATCTATCTAGGTTGCAACCCCCGCGGCAGTTTTTTTTAGGTTGCAGTTTTAAGCGATTTTTCAACGAACAAACCCATTTAAATCAGAATGACTAAACGAGGTGACGTCACACTAACGGTCGCTCCATGTTGAAGATAGGGCCTTGCACAAGGCCCATTTTCAAATGAAGGGAACAAATTTCTTCAACACCAAGAGGCCGCGGGGGTTGCAACCTAGATGGATAGTGGTTTCTGAACCTCGCCGCAAACTTGGCTATCTCAACTCAAACCCCATTCCCTTTAAAGGGAATAGTGAGATTCCATGACATTTTTTAATGATCCTAGTTTAATGTACATTATATTACAGACAATGGGCAAGACATATACCGGAAAGAGTTACAGCGCCAGGAGGAGACGAATTCTTCAGAGAGTTAATGAGCATCTAACAGTAATTGAAGAAGAGCATGCTGCTGAAAATGGATTAGGTGTTACTGATCAGGGCGCTACTAGGAATGACCATGAAGTTTTGTCATCAACAACAACTGAAGAGTATACTGCAGGCCCCTCTTTTGGGGAACAATCGCGAGGTTATGATGCATGTTCTGAAGAGCAGGCATGCAAGGAATCTGATATACAGCTCAGTATGCCTTCAGCTGAGCATGGGCATGCACAGTTGATGAGTCATGAGCAGCAAAGCTCGCTAAATCCAGGCACTGACAACAGAACTGGCCCTAGTCACATCAGTGACATTGATGAGACCGAAGATGGTCAGCATGCAAAAATGCTAAGAGAGTGGGCAATGAAGCATGGCATCTCGCACATGGCAGTTACTGACCTTCTGCATATCCTATCCGAGGTACCTGTTCCAGGTATACCAACATCTGCCAGGACTCTGTTAAAGACTGAGCGATGTATAGATGTCAAGAAGAAAGCAGGAGGTGATTACTTTTATTTTGGCATAAAGGAAACTCTGCAAACCATTGCAAATCACCTTGAGCATACAAGTAGCAGCATGAGCACTCTTTCTCTTCAGCTGAACATTGATGGACTCCCATTGTTTAGAAGCTCACGTACATGTCTGTGGCCTATCCTATTCACTGTGAAGGAATGGCAGAAAGAAGTGTTCATGGCTGCAGTGTTCGGGGGAACTGAAAAACCAGCTTCCTTGACAGAGTTTCTGGCTGATTTTGTGGAGGAGATGAAAGTACTTGAAGCTAGTGGCATTCAGGTTTCCAGCAGAAACTTCAAGGTTTTACTGACATCAGTGGTTTGTGATGCACCAGCTAGAGCATTCTTGAAGTGTGTGAAAGGCCACAGTGGGTACCATTCGTGTGAGAGATGTGACCAAGCTGGTCGTCATATCCAGAACAGAATGACTTTTCCTGATATGGGTGCAAATGTTAGGAATGATCATCTTTTCAAGCAGATGCAAGATGAAGATCACCACACTGGCATTTCACCACTATCAGTGCTGAATGTTGGGATGGTTTCTTGTTTCCCTCTGGACTACATGCATTTGGTCTGCTTAGGGGTTATGAGGAAGCTGGTAGCCCTGTGGCTGCAGGGTCCTTTACTCTGTAGGCTTCCTGGGCACGCAGTTAGAGAAATATCAGAACGCCTGAAAGGTCTGTATGGAAGTGTGCCTCAGGACTTTGGACGACGACCAAGGTCATTGAATGAATTCCGGATGTGGAAGGCAGTGGAGTTCCGACAGATTTTGCTGTACACCGGCCCAGTTGTGTTGAGTGGTGTCCTTCCAAAGAAAAATTACCACCACTTTCTTCTTCTGTCTGTTGCCATGCGCCTTCTCCTGAGTGAGAAGCCGACTGCGGAGGAGATTGACTATGCTGAGAAACTGCTACGCATGTTTGTGGTGGAGTTCCCTGCATTGTATGGCAAAGAGAATGTTGTTTACAATGTGCATTCCCTCATTCATATCGCTGATGATGCCAGAAAGTTTGGGGGTTTAGATGGCATATCTGCTTTTGTGTTTGAGAACTTCCTGAAGGACTTGAAGAAATTGGTCAGGAAGCAGCATCAGGTAGTTCCTCAGATAGTGCGTCGGGTCCTCGAGGCACAACAGGTTGATTCTTCACTAAAAGGGCTCGAGTCTAGTGTACAAGGTGAACACTTCAGTGGGCCAGTGCCAGACGAATGCAATGGGCACTACAGACAGTTCACAAAGTTGAACGGAAAATTGGTACTCTCCATCAAAGACAGGGACTGCTACATTGAATGCGATGGAGGAATTTTCAAGATACTCAACATCATCCAGGACAAATCGGGTGAGGTCAAGCTTGTGACCGATCAGTTTGAAAAAGTGGGGGATCAGTTCAGCTTCCCTTTGCCTTCATCTAGTCTTGGCATTGTTCATGTCAGACAAGGATCAAAGAGGATGAATGTTACTGACCTGAAGTCCATCTCTCACAAGCTTTGGTTGATGAAAGATGCTCATGGCGTTTCTATCGTAGTTCCACTGCTTCATAACGCCTAGAAAGTCAGATTGCCAATGCTGTTCTCCACTCCATGGCATCCAGTACAAGTGAGTGGAGATTGGCTGGTTCCAAAGAAGCAATTTTTTCCTATCAGATTCTTATTGTGTGGTATGTTCACACTTCACATGCAGATAAATTAAAAATTAAACGTTAAACGTGTTGATCAGAGAAAATTTCTGCTCTCACATTAGTTTTGTGAGATATGCACTTAGATCTGGGATAGTCGAGCAGGCTTTAACTATAAGGTAGGATTCATGAACATGCCTTTTAATTACTTAATTTGTCCATGCTGTCAGTCAGCCAAGAGTGTGCACATTGCGCACCTCATGAGAAAACGTTGCCATGGTACTGAGACGTGAGCCCAAATAATCATTTTGAACTTTTTTGTATGGTAAGGTTCTCAATGGTTATTGAACAAGTGTGGCATGCAGTGTTGATGTTGATCACTTTTCCCTAGGCCATGTATGCCATCGTGGAGTTCGTGGGAGAGAACAGCACCGCTATCATCGCCCAAAGATGGTTCGTGGACGCAGAGGAGACTTCTTGCTTTTGGCCTCCAAGGAAAGCTGATGAGCAGGCTAGAAACCTTGCCCCGGCTTCACCTTCATGGAACAAGCATGACGTTAGGGTGCTTGGCAAAGCAGGTATGGCATCCCATCAGGCTAGCTTTAATCTTTTGCAAATGATTCATTTATGAATGAAAATTTTGCAATGATTCATTTTAAACCTTAACAATACTTTATGTATATCCCTGTAAAGTGAGTCAACAGTATTGTTTAAGCAGTAATATACTAAAGCATGAATTTGTTTGCGCTTTGTGTCAACCTGAGAAGTTAAATTTGGATTCTGTAGGAATTGTCATTTTCCAAAGAATCTGATAATTTTGTTGCAAAGTTCTATCAATACTAGGAAAGAAATGACGCGTCTAGAGGCACCCCTCCCCATGTGCATTTTAGGGTGGGAAAATCGCATGTGCGGGCAACGATTAACATTTTATGTCATTTCCACTAGCAACCTATGAGCGAGCCAGAGAAAAACTGACCCGAGCCGACGAAACTTCGGACCTGCAGACCGAGGACGAGGAAACTGCACGTAAACGGCGGTAAGTGTTTCTTGTGCTAGAAATACTGAGAGTTTAATAGGTAACCAATTAAGAAATAGGAAAACAAGACTGCTCTTATTATAAGATGCAATCAATATGAGGAGCCACTTAACTATGACGGATGGCGTCGTCCATGACGGGTAATACATCACACCTCGAGAAGTTGCGGGTAATGCTAACACCTCAGGCTGTTTCACTCGCCAACTACCTGCGCCCCGTGAGGAATTACAGTGCCAGGGCATTGCGAGCAACCGAGCAAGTTTATTTGTCCTTGGTCCTTTCCATTTAATTTTCAATATTCATATGAACACATCAAGTTAATATATCATTTGAGCATCACATGCTTATCCTCAAATTAATGCTTTATTACATGTTTTTATGCCTTTCGCTAGCCTCAGTGACTCCAGTTGAACGCAGTTTAATTATGTACGGTGTGTGTGGGTTTATACACTTGTTTGTATGTGAATTGAGCATTTGTGATGTGTTTTGCAGCCGGGTCCGGCACAGAGCTGTGTCGTCCAGCTCGGAGTCCGGGGAGGAAGAGGAGGTGATGATGCGGGCTCCTACGCCGCCGCCCGCTATGCGCTGCACCAAGAGTGCGACAGCACGCCCGACCGTCCAGCCGAAACCGTCTGGCTCCAGCTCTGCGCCGAGCACCTCAAACGGGTCCGACTGTCGACCTTCCACGAACGGACAGAGCGGTGAAGGTAATTTGTTGTGCGGCATACTGTGGATGGCAGGATTTTTTTTTTTCGCAAGCGAATTAAAAAGGTTAATGACGCCAGTCACGTCGTCATCAAGCAAACTCATGAATGTTATTTAAGTAATGGACACTGACTAGGTAGCTAAGGGTTAAGTGTTTCGCTTCTTGGTATGCTTTAAATAAAAATGTGTAAATTGACCTTATGCTTATAACTTCGGAGAATTTAATTGAAAGAAGGTCTAGAATACATTTTCGGACTTTGTTTTCTTTAGGCGAGATCAAGCAACAATCAAAATTCAAAATTCAATTCATTGTTAAGCGGTATTGATTATTGCTTTCATCATAGCGACATTGATTTTTGCTTTCACCTTATGGTTGTCAACCTTTAAGGGATTGTTGTAATCGTGTCGTTTCAGACCAATCTTCAGTTCGTGGACTATTCGAACACTTGATAACGATGCTCGAGGACTACAAAGAGCGTCAAAATGAGATCCGCGAAACGCAGCAGGTCCATGGCGCCCTGCTGCACAGCATCCTGCGGCGGTTAAACGGCGGCGGCAGCGTCCCAGCCACGGCGGGAAGACTGCCGAGCGGAGCTGCCGGCCTGCCTCTGACCTCGATGGACGAGTTCAGAAGCCTTGAAGAGAGGCTGGGTGCGGACGAAGAGTTCGTGCAAGCCATGGTAAGTAAAAAAGGACAGTTTTTTTTCAAACGGAACATAAAGCATATGTCACACGGCAGTTTCATATTGTGACCCTCAGTGACCTGACCTGAGGCCAGTTTCACCAACAAAAATAGACGGCTGCGATTTTTTTTTTGACAAAACGATAGTCTTAAAATGCCATTTACTGCTGAAAATACTAATCGCTGACTTGAAAAATGTAACAGCTTAGCTTTTAAGTGCTATATAATTTGGTCAGCAATTACTTTTTTCATGTGTTATTTTTTTTAAAAAATAATTGCAACCGTCTATTTTTTGTTGGTGAAACTGGCCACTGGTGGTAGTGACCTTAAATAGCAAAATATTGTTTGACGAACAAGTCTCCGTCGATGATTTTCAATAACATGTGACGATTTTACAACACATTTCTTGAAATGCCTGTAAAAGGTGAAAATGCGACTCTTGACGTGACCTGTGACGTCATCGGTTTGACCGAGGTCAATGAAATTGGGTCACAAGGTAGTTCCCCGGTGGGGCTATCGAACGCTGTTTAAATCTTTAAAGTCGGCCGGTAACTTTCCGAGATCTGGGGGGGGGGGCGAAAGGCCTCCCCCCTCTACGGGTGGTAGGGTCCGCTGATAGACCTACGGGGCGCGGGTTAAGTTATCGGTTAGCCCGCCCATTACGTTAATCACACGAGGTCTGATTTCACAGGTGCTGTACCTGGGCGACAAAGGCGGCAGCACCGTTGGCGAGTGTGTCCGCCGCGTCATGGCCCAACTGATGAGGAGCGGCCTTGGGCAGCGCTTCAATATGAATGGGGCCCAGCGTCACGGAAAGACGGGCTTTAGAGCAACGAAGCTCTACACTGTCGTCTACAGTAAGCACATCTTCTAACCCGTTTTCTTAATACATTTCTATCGTGATGCTCATTTTATGGATAATGAAGTAGACAATTGTTTTTCTTTAATTACCTCATTAAAAACGTTACCTCACCAGTTTTGCTTTTATCACAGTATAAAGTTCTCGCTTCCTTTTGCTTCAACTGCGTTTATCTGAATTACCAGAAGCAACGCACGACTCTACCGCCAGCAAGACGCCTTTCTGGGCGACAAACTAGCGAGTGCGTCAGTTTCTTATTCTACATCTCGCTAGCTCATAACGGAAGGATTTGCTCGCTCGTAACAAGCTTTTTGTTGTTTTTTCGACAGGGGCAGTCAAACAGAACCCGGCCTTGTCGGTCACCGAGAAAGAGATCGCCAACGCCATCGGCAAGTGGCTGGTGAACAGCCGAGACCGGGAAGGGTACAGGACGGCGCGCCAGGCCACCAACAGTAGCGGCGGTGGCAGCGGGGACGCCGACACCAGCAACGGCGGTGGCGGCGGCAACGGCGTCGAACAGAACGATGTCGCTGACGAGGGCGGGGCGGTGTAGTGCATCACCTAGTGTCTCGCGTGGAATATACGTTTAAAGGAAACTGTCGTAGTTGTTGATGTATGAATGTACCAGAAGTGAAAGGAAGCGACGTAGTTTTAGTCCACAAAAGGACCTACAGCCAATCAGTAGTTTACCATGTAGTCCTTGCGTGGGACAGCTGACAAAGTTGCCTATCGCGATACCTGTTTGATATTCTTGTGGGCAGCACATGGTTATCAAATGGGATAGCCTGATATGGGATGAATGGAGCAGCCACGTGGCTACCACAGGGGAAGCCCATATCGACAGTTCCGAGCAAGAACATCCTAAGTGTCAAATTTTTTCGAAATTGAAAATTTTTTATACCATTCGACTCAGCTTGTCGAGCTGAGTCGAATGGTATAAAAATATCAACTTCGAAAAATTTGACACTTAGGATGTTCTTGCTCAGAACTGTCGATATGGTTATGAGGTGGGGCAGTCCATATGATTACCATATGGAGCAGCCCATATGGTTACCACATAGGAAAGCCCATATGGTTACCACATGGGGCAGCCCATATGGGTACCACGTGGGGCAGCCCATATGGTTACCACATGGGGCAGCCCATATGGTTACCACATGGGGCAGCCCATATGGTTACCACATGGGGCAGCCCATATGGTTGCCACGTGGGGCATCCCATATGGTTACCACATGGGGCAGCCCATATGGTTACCACATGGGGCAGCCCGTATGGTTACCACATGGGGCAGCCCATATGGTTACCATATGGGGCAGCCCATATGGTTACCACATGGGGCAGCCCATATGGTTACCACATGGGACAGCCCATATGGTTACCATGCAGAAACACCTTCCAATTATGTGTGGTGCCCATATGGGCAGCCCATGTGGGCACCATGTGGAATAGATGGGCATGCCCATATGGTAACCACATGGTTATGATGTGGGTGTGTTATCTGGGATTGGTTCCCGAGTTATGCGTTGGCTTCTTGGAAATTGTCGACATTCGACCTGGAAATCGGCGAAATTTTGCCTTCAATGACCTCTGGTGACCTGACCTTTGACCTGACCAAAAAATTGACCGAAGTGATTTCCTCATTATTTTTGACGCTCTTTCGAACGCCGCCTCCCGCGTATCGCTACATGGCCCAGGAGCCGAGTTAGAAGGGGGGTGTTCAAACACCCCCCCCCCCCCCAGCAGGGCGTGGAAATCCAGGACCCCCAGCCGGGCGCGGGTTAAACTTGTGTCAATGTTTTGGAAAAGAACTTTCCATATGCAGGGTACAATGGACCACCACAGGGTAAGATGGACCACAGTGGTCCGTCTTGCCCCAAATCTAAATTCTGTCATTATCATGACGTATATGTCAAATAGCCCAACATTGCAAAACCTTGCCTTTCCTTAAGTGTGACTATAACTAAGCTTATAACTTTGTTCTTCACAGTTAACCCGCGCCCGGCTGGGGGTCCTGGATTTCCACGCCCTGCTGGGGGGGGGGGGGTGTTTGAACACCCCCCCTTGTAACTCGGCTCCTGGGCCACGTAGCGATACGCGGAAGGCGGCGTTCGAAAGAGCGTCAAAAATAATGACGAAATCACTTCAGTCAATTTTTTGGTCAGGTCAAAGGTCAGGTCACCAGAGGTCATTGAAGGCAAAATTTCGCCGATTTCCAGGTCGAATGTCGAAAATTTCCAAGAAGCCAACGCATAACTCGGGAACCAATAGAGCTACAGCGCCGCGGAAAAGCGCATTCGATAGCCCTATTAACGCCCTTTCTGAGTAATTCTCTCAGATTTGACCTAACGTCAACGGTTTTGCCTGCAGGGGGCAAAAACTGCAAAAATAGCCGATTTTTTCGGAAACAGTTTTTCTGCAATAACTTTTGACCCAAGCCTTGTACGAGCTTACTTTTACCGGCATCGTGTTCCTCTCGTCAAGACGCATCGAATGAACTATAACTTGACCTTGAAAGGTCAACTTGAAAATTTGACCTCAGGTCAAGGTCATGACCTGACCGGAAAGGGTCATGTTGCATATCAGTCGATCCGTATCGTCGAGCTGAACACATCTAAGGCGTTTTCATCGCTCTAGCACGCCTCTATCAAAAGTTATTCGCGAAAAACTGTTAGATATCATTCGTGACCTAAGATGACCTCAGGGCATAAGCAAGGGTCACGGACACCATTTTCATGTTCAGTGTGTCTAAACCACTTGTAATTCGGTGTTTGGGAGTGTTTATAATGTCTTTCGTCCAAAAGAGGCGCATTTCAATTTTCTCCCATTGACTTATAATGGGGAGGTCGCAAAATTGACCTGACCTTAGGTCATCGATATCGAAATTCTGAGATATACATTTTGTACATACTATTGCTCTTAGCAATCGCTAAAAGTTTCAAAGCGATCGGTCACTCGGTGTAGCTATGACAGACATTGAAACTTTTTATGAGGTGAGGTCACTTCAAGTGACCTGGTGACCTGACCTTGAATGACCTTGGTCTGAAATTTTCACAACATGTGTAGAATTTATGTATGATAAGGTGTACCAAAAACGGCGGCGCTCCGCGCCGCCGTTTTTGAGATATTTGCGAAAAACCACAAGGGGGGGTGTTCAAACCCCCCCCCCCAGCAGGGCGCGGGTTAAGTGCAAAATAGAAACTAATCATGCAAGAAAGGCGCCGTAATTGAATCACCCGTAGACCTCTTATATTAGATCGGTTTGACGAAAAACAACATTTTTCTCAATAACTCAAAAGCTATGCATCATAGCAGCATGAGCTCAAGGTGGCCATTGTTACGAAGGAAAACAAACATAGTGAGTGCATAAAACAGTAGATACCAGCAGCGGTTCAGCCGGGAGGGCTGGTGGTCCGTCTTGCCCCGCCGCGCTGGGCCGTCTTACCCCACCTTCCCCTACTCAATGGGCTCAGCAAGGCCCAAAGGTATAGCTCAATTTCATTGTGCTGTCCTGTTGGTTTTAATCTTGCGAGGTCTTAAAGTTGCATATCGTCTGAAAGGCAACTTTATTAGGAATGGAATGGCAAACAGAAAGTATGCCACAACCTTACTAAGATCACAAAAATGCCCTTTACAAAAAACCCTTACAGACACCATATTGAAGGAATGGTATTCTAAATAAATGTAGGAAATCAACAATGTTCTCCACACTTTTCCACTCCGAAATATATCCTATCGAATTCGCCACTTTCTCCTGCACAAGACAACGCCTAGTTTGGCTGCCGAAACTTGCCTGAACACGGAATATTCACATTAGAGTATCTTAACACCCCACTCGAGGAGCGCTAGGGCAAACAGCACGATATAGGTATTTCCCATACCTGCTACATTGCATGATTAAATCGAGACATCCAGGCATTTTAATGGCACGTGCACTGTACCACTTTTTTCAAAGTTTAATGCAGTGCTTTAATATTGCCAGCCGTGTGGTTCAAGGGGTGTGTAATTATCTATAAGAATCTTGGGTGTGGTTAAACGCGTTGAACCACACGGCTGCTGACGTCACTATCAATTATAGTTGTGACTTGTGAGCTTTTTGGCAGGTATGGGAAACACCTTCCAGCCCTAAGGCCGGAAATTCAATAGATGTCCTCTCGCTTTTTTAGCGAAAAGAACCTCGGGCCTAACGGCAGAGGTCAAAAAAACTTCCTACTCGCTTACATTGTAGGCGACAGAAGCTGGCAGGCACCAGAGACATTTGGTGACAAAGTCACGAAAATGGTGAACACACTGCATCGCATTTGTTGACGGCGTTTGCGCACACTGCTAGCGAACAGACTAACCAGCCAATCCGCGGCGAGAATAACCCTGAGCGAACCAATCGGATGCTGGTGACACGGGGGGACAACGCTGAGCTGACGCCCCAGCCGCCAGGGAGCCTTCACTGTGGATTTTGTAGGCTCCAGGAGCCAACGCATCAAAGATTTTGAGCGGGCCTCTTCGGCGAGAGGTGTACTGTGATCATGAACACGTAACAAAACAGGAGTGGACTCTCGCGAGTAGCGAAGGGCTGGTGGTCCGTCTTGCCCCGCCGCGCTGGGCCGTCTTACCCCACCTTCCCCTACTCAATGGGCTCAGCAAGGCCCAAAGGTATAGCTCAATTTCATTGTGCTGTCCTGTTGGTTTTAATCTTGCGAGGTCTTAAAGTTGCATATCGTCTGAAAGGCAACTTTATTAGGAATGGAATGGCAAACAGAAAGTATGCCACAACCTTACTAAGATCACAAAAATGCCCTTTACAAAAAACCCTTACAGACACCATATTGAAGGAATGGTATTCTAAATAAATGTAGGAAATCAACAATGTTCTCCACACTTTTCCACTCCGAAATATATCCTATCGAATTCGCCACTTTCTCCTGCACAAGACAACGCCTAGTTTGGCTGCCGAAACTTGCCTGAACACGGAATATTCACATTAGAGTATCTTAACACCCCACTCGAGGAGCGCTAGGGCAAACAGCACGATATAGGTATTTCCCATACCTGCTACATTGCATGATTAAATCGAGACATCCAGGCATTTTAATGGCACGTGCACTGTACCACTTTTTTCAAAGTTTAATGCAGTGCTTTAATATTGCCAGCCGTGTGGTTCAAGGGGTGTGTAATTATCTATAAGAATCTTGGGTGTGGTTAAACGCGTTGAACCACACGGCTGCTGACGTCACTATCAATTATAGTTGTGACTTGTGAGCTTTTTGGCAGGTATGGGAAACACCTTCCAGCCCTAAGGCCGGAAATTCAATAGATGTCCTCTCGCTTTTTTAGCGAAAAGAACCTCGGGCCTAACGGCAGAGGTCAAAAAAACTTCCTACTCGCTTACATTGTAGGCGACAGAAGCTGGCAGGCACCAGAGACATTTGGTGACAAAGTCACGAAAATGGTGAACACACTGCATCGCATTTGTTGACGGCGTTTGCGCACACTGCTAGCGAACAGACTAACCAGCCAATCCGCGGCGAGAATAACCCTGAGCGAACCAATCGGATGCTGGTGACACGGGGGGACAACGCTGAGCTGACGCCCCAGCCGCCAGGGAGCCTTCACTGTGGATTTTGTAGGCTCCAGGAGCCAACGCATCAAAGATTTTGAGCGGGCCTCTTCGGCGAGAGGTGTACTGTGATCATGAACACGTAACAAAACAGGAGTGGACTCTCGCGAGTAGCGCTCAGTGCTTGTCCAATTTTCAAACAAGTTTGAATGCTTTCAAGAAAGGGACTGGCGCCGTGATGAAGGCTGAGTTGTTTTGTGGTTATGATTTTTTCTGTTTTAAGCAAGGCAGGACATAACACTGGAAGTAAGGAATCTTGGGTTGTCTAATTTTGCTGGTTTGGGTACTTGTAAGTTGGATATAACAAGTAACAACGCTAGCCCTGTGGGTATCAAAAGCAAGGCTGTTTGGATTTATGCCTGATTTTGAAACACTTGCCAAAGCTGTCAATGAATAGGTGTTTTGTGTTAATATTGACACAACTTTCATTTTGATTTTAATTTGTTCAGCCCTAGAAGAGCAGGAATTTCAATTTTCATTAGCTGGTAAAAGTATACCAGTCCAAGGACTCCGAAAAAATGTTGTAGGTTGGTATGTAGGTTGTAAGCTGGGAGGTTGTAGGCTGGTAGGTTTTCTGTTTTGTGTTGGTATGTTGTAGGTAGGTTGTAGGTTAGAAGGTAGGTATGTAAGTTTGGTTCAGGCTTACTTGTTCTCCTTCATTCCGACTTCTACTCTTTTACTCTTGTTGCGTTAAGTGTTTAAGAAGTCTGAATGAAAGAAAAACATCATTACCTAACCTAATCTTGCTTTCTACCCTTTCACTATTACCTACCAGCCTACAGCCTATCTACCTTCTACCTACCTGTACCTACAAATTACAACTTCCTTACCTTAAACCTGCCAACCGACAAGCTCCAAAGCATACAACCCACCTACCTAGCACCTACACCTTTTTTATTTTGGCTTATTGTATGCTAGTACCAAAAAACCTAATGATTATAATTTTAGTTTAATAAAATTAGTGGCATTGATGTAGAAAAGGAACCTTTTGCAACATGTTGCATAGGTAGACTAGGTATATTGTATTATACATAGGCACCTATTATTTGTTATGTCATAACAGGTGTGAAATCTCACCATATGGAACACAAATATAAATGTATTATGGAGAAATGTAAAATAGAATGTCAGCAATTCTTAAATGCATCTGCACAAGATTAGTTACACATGCATTCAGTGTCCCAAAGTTGAGTTTTGGCTGGGGTGTAAGAGGGGGATATTATCCACCAAAAAGGGGCAGAGGGTGGAAACTGCTGGTTAGATTTGATACAAAAAGAGTGAGAAAAGATCAAAAGCATTTATTTTTATCCATGAGTATCTATGATCATAAACCAACTCCAAGTATCCACACAACTCAGTCCACCACACCTGCCCACCTGTCTAAGTCCACCACACCTGAACTGCCTTTTGAGGTAGCAAGGTGTTCTTGGCTGAGAGTGGTTAATTGCTCTTAGAAATTGGTGGTGAGTGAGAGTGGCAAATGAATCTGAATCTCAGTATTTTCCACCCAAATCAACAAATTTTGGGGCACTGTAATAATATATTATCCAGGTTTAGGGCCACACTAACATTGACAACACTAACATTAACATTGGCCTAATAAATCCTATAATTTTTCAAATTTTACCACCCTAGTGCAACACTTATCCGTCGTCCGGGGGCAGGGGACACAAAGGGGGTTGAAAAATTTTGTAGGTGACACAAAATATGTTTTTTTGACCTCTGCCTAACGGCCCTCGGAATTTTCGCTAAAAAACCTCGGTGACATTTATTGAATCATCCCGGCCCCGGGCAGGAATATATTGTTCCGGACATAGGCGAATAATTTTACTTCGTGATTTATATGATGCATATTTTCTGAGACACATTCATTAGGAATAGGATGACAAGCGTAAATTATACATACCGTAACCTTATTAACCATCGCACTTGTGGGGAGGGGGAGGGGGAAGGGGTCGGATAAAACCCCATGGTTTTCCGCAAATTACTCGCGCAAAAAGCGGCCGATCGCGCCGAAACTTTCGGTGCCCTCAAGATCATCAATTTTACATCTAACCTAAAAATTTCATGACTCTGACCCAGCTGACCTTTGACCTGTGGCATATTTCTCGAGACCATGTTTGGCCGGAATCGCGATTCGGCGTATGCCAGCTCACATTATCCGCGGTTTCCAGTCTTTTTGTGGTTTTAAACGTTCAAATATGTGAAATGATGTTGGTGTCATGCATAATGGTGGGTGTCAAGGTCACGTGAAGGTCAAGTCAAGGTCATTGACCTTTTGATGACCTTGGTTCACTTTTTCGAGTTTTACTTGTTTCTAGGGTAGTTTTTGGTGCTGATTTCGATTTTAGCAGTCATTTGAATATTTACGAAGTAGTTCTGGTGCTTTCGTACCATGTTACGAAGCTATCAGTAGTAGATGACACCTACTATGGATGGCCGGCAGGACGCCTACTGGTTGATCTAACCTGACCTGACCCGACCTGGCCTAAATGCATAAAGACATCGTCTGTGATCAAAACTAACATGAAATTCGTGATCAGCACCTCAAAATACCCCGTAACACCCTAACTTTGCGAAGTTTCAAGAGGTCTCGATTTCCCAACTTTAGTTGGGTCATTAAACTGACTTGGAAAGTCAGCTTATGACCTTGGACTTTGAAATTGGATATATTCGGCCTCATTTCGTCATAGGCAGCACGCTTGACTTTTCCGCGAAGCTCTAGCTTGATCAGGGGCCAAACTGCTGAGCGGGGGGTCCAATTGAACCCCCTATACTATGTTGATTATGCACATTTACAGGTAAAATTCTCACCAGGACACACCAGCCAACATCTGTGCACAATCTGGCTACAATTCTAATTTTGGTTTGCCCTCTACGAATAAATACGTGCTAGATCGGAAAAATCCCCACTGTGCAATGTGAAGCAATCTCCAATTTAGCGTAAATTTGGCCGGAGGTTGTTCCCTTTATGACGTCATAACTCCGTGACCTGACATGACCTTGACAAAAATTTTTACCAAAAGTTGCGCAAAGGATGCCCCAAAGGGTACTGAAAATTTGAGCAGGCTATCTGAAACGGTTCGGCGTGTAGCTAAGAAAAACCTCAGGGGGGGGGGGGGTTGCACCAACCCCCCCCCTACATGGGCGAGGGTTAAAAGGGACAAATCATGACACCATACAAAATGTGCCAGATTTATCTATCACGTGCATTGCTTTTTTTGCACAAGATTTTTCGATTTAGGGACCACCATTGACGCTTACTTTTTAACAGTTAAAAAAAATCACCCTTGAATATATCAGATGCAGTTTGAGCTCAGTAGCACGATGGTGCTATTCATATAGCTGTACAATGTCAAATACGTACTGAAAAAGTGATTTGAAGAAAAACATAAAGCTTTTATGTGCTATCATTTTTCTGTATTTGCAAAGCTATAGGCTTGACAGCTCTTCCCGCGAAACCCTTTTTTGGGTCGAAAACGGCAGAACATGACGTCACTCTGACGTCATTTCCGGCCAACCTACCATAGCCTTTGGAAAAATTTTGGTCACAATGTGTAAAATTGATGTCCGGGAGGGTACTGAAAGTTTGGTGACGATCGGCGCAGCGGTTCTGGAGATATATCGAAAAGTCTGAAGGGGGGGGGGCAAAAATAGCCCCCCCACCAGGGCGCGGGTTAAGTGGTTGGTTGCCAACATCACAATAATCGATCTACATTGATGAATACCTACATCTAATGGCTGTTGAAAACCACTGCCGAAATGTGTGCACGAACCTTCTCATTTCTATTGAGTCATTTTACAGGAGTGTCCTTGTCATTTAAAGTCATTACACCAAAAGCACATATAGACTAACCAACCACTCTTTTGCTGGAGGGCCGTACCTTATTCTTAAAATGTTCAAAATTTTGCAAATCCGAGATAGCAGTTTGATAGCGCAGTGTATTCGGAGTCCTCTCAGGCAAAAAACTTGGATTTAGCTAAAAGCAGAGCTCTTGAGAGCAATTGCCGTAGTTCAATGTTTTGCGCGTCGAAATCGGCCGAACATGAAGTTACTCTGACAGTACATTTCCGGCCGACCTGTGGTAGCTATGAAGTTCATATTTTGACACAATGACTCCACAAAGCGCCGTACTGCATGACCACCCAGACCGCCGCATCGTCTGTACACGGCGAATTGACCCGTTCTGACGGTGTTGGCATTACCCATCCATACAGATGGAACCGTTGACGGTTTGTAAAAAAAAAAAAATAAGGACTAAAAACCGGAATAAATTTGCAGCAAAATGAATATTAAATTAACGCTCTTACGAACTAGTAAGATCTTCCTATAAGCTATTCAAAAGTAACATTTATTGTGAAACACCTTGTAAGTATGCACACATTCCGCAAATTGCAATTATGCTAGTCCTATAAATAAGCATCAAAACGCTACTGCTCACGCCTCACAACATCTCCTCCCTGATCCAGTACAGAACTCTTCCCGACTGGACGGCCTGCTCGTAAATCCAGGGACTGAACGTATACCCTGTGTTGGTTTCATGCGTCACCAGCGTCCCGTACCACTGGGTGGTGGCAGACGCAGAGGTGGTCAGAACAGCGGACCCGGCCCCCAGGTTCAGCCAGGGCATCCTCTGCTCAATGCCGGTGTCCTTGTACTCCCAGTTGTCGAACTTGGCCGCTCGGCTGACGCTGGTCTGCGTCGGCGCCTCGTGGACGAAGCTGTAGCCGCGCGGAGCGAGCCAGACGCCGCCCCAGCGCCGGCGGCCCGTCTCCGCCTGCGCCTCGATCCGGTAGGCGAACCGGGTGCCGGTGCCCAGGTCTCGGATGGCGTCCGCCCTGGCCAGGATGGCGTAATTGGAAGTCAGAGACGGCGACCGCTCGCTGCGCCGCAGAACGCTGAGTGGGCTCCAGCCGTCCCTCGCGGCGACCGTCAGCAGCAGCGTCCAGCCGCCGCCGTCGTGGCTGAAGTCGCACAGCACCGGCACCGGCATCCCGGTGAACCAGTAGACGCCGTCCCGAGGAGAGCCGCCCTGGTCGCGCAGCTGCAGACAGGAGCGGGCGCAGGTGCGTCTCTCGGGCTCCCAATACGGTCCAAGTCCTGGCAGGAGCGGCACGGGACTGGTCTCACAGGAGGGCTCCTGCTCCTCCGTCACCGGGTGCAGCTCCTCCGTCTTCACGTGCTGCTGAGGAGGACACTGGCAGGTGACGTTCTGGTCGGCCGCGGCCTCCAGTCGCCCCTCCAGCCGTCCGAACTGCAGCTGCAGCTCGGCCAGGCCGTGTACGGCGGCGTCCAGCCGACCCTCCAGTCGACCGAGCTCGACCAGAGCCCTCTGGCCGGCGTCAGCACCGCCCTGCATCGCGCGCGACACGGCGGCCTCCACCACCGGGCCGAGCAGCGCCGCCAGCTGGTCAGCAGCTGTCGGCTGCAGGTCAGCAGCTGAGGGCAGCTGGTCAGCAGCTGTCGGCTGTAGCTCAGCGGCGGACGGCGGCACATGGACAGCTAGCAGCAGCAGTGCAGGGAGGACGGGAGCGAGCCATCTGCGCATGACGCCCGTCAGTGTGAGAGCCACTGGATGTCCTGTGCCTGTCAGTGGCTCAGTAGTCAGTGCCCAGACTGCCCACCTACTCCGTATGGAAGGCCCAGGAAAACTCTTGCCCACGAGATGGACATTCGGGCTTATATTTAGCGCAGATGGTGGAATTCACAGCCGAGATGGGGGTCTGGGAAGGTTCCTGTTTATCGCAATGGTCATATACACAAGCGAGTGTGTAGGCATCGAAATTCATAATATTTATTTTAGCACACCAGACGACTGGAATGTCCAGTGAATATTCTGACAATTAGAGGCACAAGTTGACCGGAAGGGAAGGTCAAACACTTAATGCAGCCGCTAAATTTTTTCACGAATATACCCAGAACCTGCAGACTGATCGAGGTCTGTACCTACCCAGTACCCACCCACCCACCCATGACCACCGGTGTAAGTGATGCACATGGAAAATTTTCCTGCATTTAATAGAAAAAAATAATGACGATGATCACAAATTTGAAATTTGGCATCCTACGGACGAATGACCTAGAAACTTGGGTTTATCATCAGAGTGTTAGATGTTAACTAAACACAGTGTAGGTTAGCCTGAGATAGGCCTAGACCTAACAATGAATCATGCATGTCAATGAGCTAAGGCGTTTATTTCATTCACGTTTAGGTATTTTTGTCCGCCATCGCGCAGACTGGGACGACCAAGTTCTCCTATCGGACAGTTTACCCCACTCCCTCCTACCTACGGTATACAAATTACAATTATAATTGTTGATGTATGCAATATATGGCATTGTTTTTAATGATGGAAGGAAGCCGTTTCGGCATGGAAAGGCCATTGCTGAGATTGGGGATGGTAGAATAGGGTGTAGACGTCTGACCGTGCGGACCGCCGACGGTGGGGTGGGCGCCGCAGCGGCAGAGACCGCTCTGATGGGCCGGCAATGTCCCGATGGGACAGCCCACACCCTGCCACCCCAGAGAGAGTCCAACGAGGAGCTGCCCCCACCGCCGCGCCGGTTTATAGGTCTGACCGCCAATGTGAGGAGGGATGCGATTAGGACTGTTCTGAGGCTGGTGAGGATGGATGTTTAGGTGTGTTCACATTCCCCAGTACCTACCTACACTATGGTCTGTGAGTGGGAACCCGGGAGGCGACGTGACATGACGCCCTGAGTTGTGACCATGGCCCATGGGGATTGAGGAAACATGGAACACGGAAGCGTTATCAACGGTATAGGACCGTGGCAACTTCAAAAGCCAGTCACACTCATCAATTAGAGCATGACTAACAGACCTTAGGTGACAACGGAGTGCCCAGTGCGGATAGCCCAAGGCTAACCTATGATCGCTGCTTCCTGTAGTTGTCCGTCTGGCCGCTAGGGGCGCTGCTGTCTGCTGCAAGACAATAGGGACTCCCCGGCTGCGCTGAGATCAGACGAGCCGTCTGACAGGGCGCGTGCGGAGCCGACCAGCAGGGAGTCGGAGTCAGCACCCACCGAGCGAGTCAGAGTCGGAACCAGAGCTCGAGTCAGAGCCAGCGAGGGCTGAATTCGGATCAGAAAAGGCCGCGATCACATCGGCGAAATGCACTACAACATATTCCAGGTACGGCGTATGGGAAATTACACCTATCCTGTCTGCTGTCCCAGACAAAGTGTTGACGCTGTGGTGAATTTTTGGAATGGACATTTTTCAGGAATCAGAGGTGCTAACTTGTTTGCAGTTTTTCGGACGGCGAGGGTTGAAGATCGAGCTAATAGGTCACATGCCTATAGCGACAAACGCTGTGCGGGGTGTTTGAAAGAACCCGAAAATGTTTAAGAACTTGGGTCTGTTAACGTTTGGGTCATATCACAGGTCAGCTCACCACAGGTCATGTGTCACATAGGACAGCCCACGAGTATCGCCCGCCACGCGAACAAAATAGCCGCTGTGTAGGTCACTTTTTCAGCTAGCTTTAATTGAGATCTTTTTTTAAACATCAACGATATTTTTGCGCTGTTGGGCGATTATTGAGAACAAAAATATCCGCCGCCGGCGATTTTCTGTTGGGAGGCTATAACTTCTTATACCTACCTGTGTAACGGCTTACTAAAATCATCTCTTCTTACCTTTTTCACATTGAATGTCTTCGAACGTTGGTAAGCCCGGCCTTGTCGGCTTGTATTACGCACCGAAATGAATGAATGATACCTCTAAACGTGTTCATGTTATGGCGCTATACCTCTAAAAAATCCATGGCTTCATATAGGCAAAATATAGATCGGGCTAACATTGACATCGCTGCCCTTTTCGCTGTCAGTTCTCACGTGAGAATCTGTTTAGGGAACGATCGGTTCCGGCACAAGTCTGACCTTATTATGCATGGGTGTGGCACTTTGGACGTTTGTTCAGGGTCGTACCGGCCATGGTTGGGTGAGACCGCTACGTGGCCTCGACGTGTGCACTGCCTGATCACTGGCCAGCATGCGACTTAATTAAATTCACCAATACATGCTAGGGAACGAAACGAAACCTTTGTCATGAAACTTATTGCCAACAGCGGTATGAAAATATACTGAAAGTAATGGTTGTGAGATGCATCTTTGGCAGTTAGTGCTAATAACATAGCAAAATATCACGAGTGTCTATTGCTTCCTGGATGTATTAAGGCTACGTGGCAATGTAAGTAGGCAACAAGATCACTCATTCACGGCCTTTCTCAGGATGCGGAGGGCAAAAGGAAGCACAAAGGAGGCTGCGACTGCGGCCAGGTGCGGTACGAGGTCATCGCGCCAACCCAGGTCACTGCCATCGAGTGCAGGTGAGGTCACATCACAGGTCACTGACATTGGGTGCAGGTGAGGTCACAGGTCACTGCCATGGAGTGCAGGTGAGGTCACAGGTTACTGCCATTGAGTGCAGGTGAGGTCACAGGTCACTGCCACTACTATCTACATTTCAAGTAGGAGGCAAAAAAAAAAATCGAAAATAGGGTTCTTTACGGAAGAAAATGCTTACATCAAACGGCATTTCCGTACACATTTCCACACGCGCAGTAGGTGGTTTCTGCTGTCGTTGCTGTCGGACATGGATTGCCATCGCTATCCGTCCTACTACTATAGCTCACCCCTCTATCCTGCCAGCTCGCCCTCTGTAGCGCTGCTAGGACAGAGGGACTGTCCTCTGACCTCCCTCCCCCGCCCTGTCGGCAGCTGCGAGTCGTGCTCCAAGCGCCAGTCTCGCTACTTCCCCGTGCCGGCAGACCAGTTTCGGCTGGTGCAGGGTCACGGTCACCTGAGCACCTTCGGCGCCGGCAGCGCCCGACACAGCTTCTGCAGCACGTGCGGCGTACAGAGCTTCTTCATACCGGCCGGCGGAGACAACGACGTGGTCGGTGAGTGGTCCGTGGTCCGCGGTTCCTAGTCTATCTGTGGTCAGTGAATGGTCCGAGGTCGGCGAAAGGTAGATTTTCTTCGCTAAACGGGCACAAGCTAAACGGTGCTGTTGCACAGGCGGTCCAATGTGTTTAGCTTTCTGTGACAGCGACGGTCCAATGCATTGGGTTTCCTGTGACAGCGACGGTCCAATTGTAGGTATACGGTTTCCTGTGACAGCCAATGTATTAGGTTTTCTGTGACAGTGGCGGTCCCAGGTATGTATACGGTTTTCTGTGACAGTCAATTTTCTGTGACAGTGTTTGTGTGACAGCGGTGGACCAATGTGTCGTGTTTTGCGTGACAGCAGCGGTCCAATATGCCTTGTTTTATGTTACAGCGGTGGTCCCATGACGTTCATCTGACAGCGGGGCCCTTACGATGACGTTTTTTTTGTAACAATGCATGCTGACACATGCACATATGCACAAGGAAACAATGCATGCTGACACAAAGGAATCTCTATCATTTCGGTAAAATGTTCCAAGAGCTATGAGAAAGTTCGTCCGGAAACACTCAGTACGTCCTTGGCCTCTGCAGAAATCGATGGAATTGATAGTTCTGCTGAGTTACAGCGCTATGGACGGCACGATTTGACCATATCTCCCGAACATGTGTTGGCCGTATTCCGAGTTTATTGCTCTGTGCACTATTGCTCCTCCCCTTACGACTCAGTTTATCAGCGTGCGGTGTTGATAGAGGGGGGGGGGGGGGTTGCCAGCCCATCTATTCACACGGCCGGCGCCCGGCCATGCCCTGCAGGTTACGGGAAGCACGGGTCACCGACGCACCAGTGTCCAACTGAAGAACGTCATAACTCGTGTCTGCACTCTGCAACGAATAATGACCAAGCTATTGTTTCACTGAGAGACACAGACTGCGTGGGTATATGGGGTAGTGGGATAACGGCTTTTAGAGGCCATGCCACGTCATACATCCGGTCGCTGGGCCCACCCTTCCATATCCCCCATATCCCCGCCGTAGTGAGGGGGCGGGGCGGGGAGCAGCGGGGTGCCCTTCAGCAGTCGGGCGTATCGCCGTCCAAGGTTTTCCGTCAGCTGAGCGCCGCCCCTATGCTCGGCAGGTGTCATGCCTCACTGCCTCGACCCGGGAACAATGAAAAAGGTGAAGACGGAGCGGCGAGACGCCAGCAAGTCGCCGCCACCGTCCCGCGCCAGGTGAAGGTCGCCGGCGAGCGGCCGAAAACACCGCCGCGCCGGGCTGCCTCCCGACCTGTGCCTCATCGAATATCGTGATCGTGAATTGAACCATGTTTATTTAATATATTGGTATATGGTGTGATAAATTGTCTCTTCGCTTAGTCATTTTCATGACCTTATGTCATTATGTGTAGTTATATAAAAGGTCGGAGCGAAATCAATAACAAGCACATGCAACGATCCCTCAAGCAAAACCAAATGAATTGGATCATTCTAGAGTTTTTAGGATTATTCTGCCTATATCTTCGCTCCAATAAAGGCAAACACGGTTACACGCCTATTTGAATGTCATAAGTGCTAGCCTTGACATTATTTTTATCACAAACGTTTTCAACATGTTAGCTGAAATATTTATTTCTAAAACACGTTTAGATTTTTTGGCTGCTCACATTTTGGCCCCTCCGAAAAGTTGTTCTTAAAAATTTCCAGTTGTGAGAAAATAGCTTTATCTACAAATAAATACGTAAGTCCACTAGTCCAACACATCGTCCATCATACAAACCAATTGTCAGCGAACATTATTCCGCCTGAACTATGCGCCGGAACATGACGTGCAGCATCTCCCATCCAAGCTTGCCTTCAAAGTGCGGAAATTCTAACCCACTTTTTCTAACTTGAGATTTATTACCTAACCTGAGGGTTAAATACAATAACATTAGCAAATAATATTTCTTTAGGATTGCGAATAAAAAGCGCAGTTGTAGTACTAGTTATACATGTAACAACCATTGAGCATTCATTTATGTTACTATTTCTTCGCCTGCTCGAACGCGTCGCCAGAGAATAAAGGGAATCTCCTTACAGTACAGCGTTTGACAGAAAACAATGATTGTTTGACATTGTGTATGGTTTATTGCACAGCACATGGTCTTATTCGTTTTGTCACGCGTCTAAATAGCACACACCCACTTTTAACATGCTGCAGTTTTGACGCTACTTGTGCTGATGAGGGTACTGTGCTGCCACCAAAAGTATAAATAGGTACAGAGCCAATCTCCTTACGGGAGAACATTATTTGATATCTAATTATGTAAGACTCTTTAGTGCCCTGCTAGGTAAGAACATGGTGGCAACTGGCAAACCAGCTAACGGAGCAAAAGCAGGGTTGATGCAGTCAGTTCCTACTCGGACATTTTGTTGTTGTTGCATTTCCTCTGAGCATTGTTGAGCTGAGCTCACTGCAAGGGCAAATGTCACTTGCTCTTATATCAGAAATCGTACTTTTAAAGGGACACTCCCACCTTAACATTAGTTTTGAGTTGAGATAGCCAAATTGGTGGCCATGGCCTGCAAATACCGGTTTGGGCACTCACAACATCGAAAAATGCTTTAATTCGAAGATATGGAATTTCAAACTTGCAGTTTTCGGATTCTAAGGGGCTAATGCATTGGAATGCCCCCTTAGAATTTGTGACGTCAGCGAAGATCTAACGATTTTTAAATCTTAGACTAAAACCATCGTTAACACGTGGTGGTATACGCTGCTTTGCGCGCAACGTCCGCCGCACTTTAAGGCTGCCAAATTATTGCTTCCAAATAAAGTCGCTAGTAACAGGGGAGATCCCAAAAAGTAAACAAAAGTAAAAGCCTAATATCTTGAAAACCAGTGAATATTTTTCGGTGAAATTTGGTAGATATTCGTTTTCGCTCTTTCTGAACCAAGGGACATCACTTTCATGCCAATTCATTAACTTTTTTGAAGGTGGGAGGGTCCCTTTAAGACTGCGACCTACTGCTGCTGTACCCCTCAGCGCTAGGGACCTACCACTTGGCTGAAAAACTTTATACGTGGCCACGCCAGGCAAGGAGGAGACTTTTACTGTGGCAACTGTTTTGGAAGGTCCTCTAACATCTACCGGTACTATGGCTATAGTTTTCTCACTTGAAGGCTCAAAGACAACACAATAGACACCCATCAATATCAACATCGACAATGCATTGAGATGTAGAACATACGAAGAAGGCTTACAGAGAGACTCTGATGCGTGAATGTGCGTAGCCCGACACCTAACCGTCCCTCTAGCCAAATGGATCCGACACCATTTGTAATATGATGTAGGCCTACCCGAAGAAAACAGGAACGGACTATCTCGGCACTAGAGAAGAACATCTGAAATACAACGATCTTACGAACAACGTTTACAAACACATGTGAGCCGCCCGGAACAATCCCAACAAAGACGTCGTCAGGGCCATCGTGGGAGAGCGGAGCCGAAAAAGCTGCGCATTCGTCATGCTTTTAGAAGAGACTGTCGTAGAAAGCCGCAGAGGCAAAGAAACTGAACATCTTGAATCAGAAAGAAACGAGCGTACTTATGTCACAGACCTTCGGACATTGATGCTATGTTATGTATTCACTAGATAAAGTGGAGGATGCAGGCAAGTGATACATTTCGACATCGAAATGAATTACGTCTTTTATAGATGTCAAGGAGGCACATGAGCGACGAAGGAATCAACTAGCAACGAAGGCTTCAACTCTAATTTTCCGGGAGTGGCATCTACAAAACATGCCATTTTCACGCACATCGCAAATATGCCCGTGAAAATGACACGGCTCTTAATCCGCGCATGACTGGGGTATTTACCATACGCAAGTGATTGAGGGAGGGGGGCTCTCCAGAGACCTCCCCCCTCCTATCTCTGAAACTACTGGGCCGATCGTCAAAATTGAAACGGTGTCTGATAACCCTAGAAAAACTGTCGAGCGTAACCTATTTTCATTGAACTCGAGGTCACCGATGACGTCACAGGTCAGGTCAAAGTAAAAATTATCGGCATTTTTGCTTGTTCAAAATTTAGGCACTGGCCGCCGGCTGACAAGTCCGATCAGGCTCATTTTTGGTTTACGCACTTCTTGATATATGCCTTAGATACTCTGAGGGTACCGAACTTTTACTTCTTTCAGGTCAAAGCTAGGTCATCCTAGGTCACGTAAATTGAACATCATGTATCGGTCACGTGACGCATGTTTTATGGTCCATTTTGAAAATAATGTCGTCTGTGTCATTTGAGGTCATTTTCAGCTGAATTTACTGGAGATCAGGTCACTTTCAGGTCAGAGGTCAAATTTTGAAAATGAAGTTTTTCAACAAAAAAGGTGCCTATCATATGCAATTTGAGCTCAGGAACACGATGGTGCCATTTATTTTGCTGTACGATGTCAAAAACCTACTGGAAATGTTTTTGAAAAACATAAAATTGTAAAATTTTGACAATAATGTTAATAACTTGGCTATTTTTGAAGATATTGGGTTAGAACTTGCTAGAGTAATTTATCAGTGTGTGTTCTATCACATATACTCCAAGTTTTAAATCAAAAACTTTTTGAAAAAATAAAAAACAATATTTTTTTGTAATTGTAAAACATATTTTTTCTAAATTTTCCGAATTTTGAACATTCGAGATAGCAGTTTGATAGCTACGTGTATTTGTAGACCACCAATGCAAAGAAATTGGATCCAGCTTTAAAATAAGCTCTTGAGAGCGTTTGCCGTAATTCAATATTTTGCATCAAAAGCGGCCGACATGACGTCACTCTGACGTCATTTCCGGCCAAACTATGGTAGCTAGAAAGTTGCAATTTTAACACAATGTGTCAAATTGATACCGCCAAGAATACCGCAAGTTTCGTGTTCATCCGTCAAACGGTTTAGAAGATATTACTGAAAAACGGGAGGGGGCTCTGTAGAGCCTATTTTTTTGCCAAGTTTCCATAAGACGATCAAAGCTTATTGACTGAGGTCCGAAAATATAGGTAACTGAGACCTTTGCAAAAACATACTCAAATTTTCGTATTTCAAGTCAGCAAAGGATGGCATTGCTGTACAGTGTACACATACAGTCTCTCTTTAAAATACCGCAACCTTTTAGAAAAGGAAGTACCGTCTCTCTGACATCCTCAGTAGCTCCTTCTTGGTCGGGTTCGATGGTACCGCCGCACCGTGGTGTGGTATTTTCAAGAGAGACCGTACAGGGCACACTATTCCAAAGTGTCGCCGTTGCTGTACCCGCGTCCCTCGGTCAGCCAGGTGTCGGTCCTCCAGGCCGGGTCGTAGCGGGCCACGCGGACGTACTTGCGAGAGCAGCAGCCTCCGATGCCGACGGCTTTGACTGTGATGAGATGCGGTGCATTTACCGAGTATATCGGGTTCGCCGCGTCGTTGCGGTGGATTGTGACTTGGCCGTTGTTGTAGCGAACGGTGAATGTGTTGTACTCCGTGCTGCTGAGCACAGGGCCCGTGTTCACTGTCTGCGAAACGGTGTTGATGTCGCCGAAGTAGAGCAGAAGAGATTTGTCCTTCGACAGGCCGACGTAGATGACGAGGATGCTCGGCGTAGCGGCGTCTCCCTGCAGCGCCACAGAGCAGTCCGTCTGCGCCATACAGTCGTACTTGACGGTGACGTCGCTCGTGACTGTGATGTTGCGGTAGACGTAGGCTTCAGGGGCGATGTCCATGACGGCATCCTCAGCCACACCAGAGTCCTCGAACAGCCATGGGTCCGCCACGCCAGAGTCCACGTACATCCAGGAAGGAGCATTGTCACTGTAGGCTTTGACAAAGTCTATGGGTTGGGTGATGGCTGCTTGGCCGGTGACCATGGTGGGATTGCCTTCAGGCCCGATTGTCATCAGTCCCTCGCACCAGGATATCTTCAGCCGAGTGAAGGTTTCTGAGTTCACCACGTCTGGCGTGGTGGCGTCCTGTGCCAGCCACTTGGTATTCCCAGAGGCGTCTTTGTAAAACAAGTCGGTTTTCGCATAAGTGAAACGAAAGGAAAGCCTGATACCGTCACGGTCGTCAGACCACGTGGGGACGATGCTTATCTCTGCCCCACCACCGAGTTTCACGCTGATGTCCAGGCTGCAAGTTCCCGGCTTCAGTCTCTTCCAAGTCCAGACGCGCCAGTCCATTCTCCAGAGCTGCCAGCGGGGGAGCGCCAGGCCAGGTCTCAGCTCCCAAAAGTTGGGAGCGGGCTGACAAACACGTCCCACGCACTGGTATCCACCTGGTGGCTTCAGTTTCACATTGCAGTGGGCGTCCCCCGCGCAGAACTGGCCGGCCGCCTCTGCTGCGCATTCTGA